CAAACCCTCGGCTCCCAGAGCCCAGGGAAAGGATTTTCCAGAGCTGCTGCCAGGGGCTCTGCTGATGGAGCACGTGAATATTGAACCACTTGGATGGGACACATTAAACCACCTGGATGGGACACATTAAATCACCTGGATGGGACACAGATTAAACCACTTGGATTAAACCACTTGGATGGGACATTAAACCACCTGGATGGGACACATTAAATCACTTGGATGGGACACAGATTGAATCACCTGGATGGGACACATTAAATCACCTGGATGGGACACAGATTAAACCACTTGGATTAAACCACTTGGATGGGACACATTAAACCACCTGGATGGGACAGATTAAATCACCTGGATGGGACACATTAAATCACCTGGATGGGACACAGATTAAACCACTTGGATTAAACCACTTGGATGGGACACATTAAACCACCTGGATGGGACAGATTAAATCACCTGGATGGGACACAGATTGAACCACCTGGATGGGACACAGATTGAATCACCTGGATGGGACAGATTGAACCACCTGGATGGGACACATTAAATCACCTGGATGGGACACATAAAATCACTTGGATGGGACACAGATTGAATCACCTGGATGGGACACAGATTAAATGGGATGGAATTCCTGGCTGGGAGGGTGGGATGGGATTCCCAGCCCAGCTGTGGCTGCCCCTGCATCCCTGGCAGTGCCCAGGGCCAGGCTGGAGCCACCTGGGATGGTGGGAGGTGTCCCTGCCATGGCACCAAGGCCCCATCCACCTGTGAGACACCCCAGAAAACACCTGGCATGAGCAGGAACACAGGGCAGGGACAAATTATTCATCAATAGCAGGAAAAGTGCCCAAAATAGCAGTTTTGGAAGGCTCCAAAGCTACTTGAGAAGCCAGGCCAGATTTGACAAATAGCTGCAGCCAAAGTGGAGAAAATAATTAGAAAAACATTGAAACGTGTCATTTTTAGTTGCTGTTCTTATTTTTTTTTTTTTATTTAAACTGAAACGTTTTACTTCGGAAATGATGAAACATTTCAGTCCCAGCAGGATCTTGGAGCCTTTGTCCCAGCAGAACAGGAATGTTTATTCGGTTTGTCACCGACCGCCTGAGTTAAATGTCAGGAGGAAATTTCGCTGTTGCCTTCTCGCGTAAAAATAAAAATTCAAAACGCACACGGGATTTTATCTGGTGGCACACAAGGCATTAGGAAAGGAGAGATAAAGGGTTGAAGGCAAGCACCTTTCCTGTCCAGATCCTCAGCTCCCCTAATGCCCAACAGGCTGAGCCACCAGGGATTAGGGAAAGGGGACAGGGTGACCTCAGGTGACACAGAGCCAGCACAGAAGGTTCCTTGGGGATCCTCCCATGGAACTGCCCCAAACCAGCCCTGGGAACGGCAGGGCTGAGGGTGATGAAGGCTGAGAGGGACAAAGGCTGCTGAGAGATGCCCCCCAGAACGGAGAATTGGGACCTTCCCCTGCTGCCATGGCCATGGCACTGGGAACAGCCACATCCTGCTCCTCCATCAGCACTGCAGCCCCTGCCAGGAACCCGCCTGTCCCAGCTCTGGGGCCTTGGGCTGCCTCTAATTTTAGGGTGTGATGAAAAGGTCTGGGGTCTCCTCCAAGCTTTCCTAACAAAGGGCTGAGTGCCACAGCCAAGAGCCCCGGGATCCCACAGCACTCCCACGTGAGCCCAGATGGCCTGTGCCTTTCCCAGCTCCATCCATTTAACTTTCCCTGCTGCTCCCTGCCTTTCCCAGTTCCATCCCTTTCCCTGCTCTCTGCCTTTCCCAGCTCCCTGCTTTTGCCTACCCCCTGAATTTCCCTGCTTTTCCCTGCTCCATCCTTTCCCAGCTCCATCCCTTTCCCTTTCCCTGCTTTCTGCCTTTCCCAGCTCCCTGCCTTTCCCTGCCCTGTCCTTTTCTCTGCTCACTGCCTTTCCCTGCTGCTCCATCCCTTTCCCTGCCTTTCCCTGCTTTTCCCTTCTCTCTGCCTTTCCCTGCTCCCTGCTCCATCCCTTTCCCTGCCTTTCCCTGCTTTTCCCTTCTCCCTGCCTTTCCCTGCATTTTCCTGCCTTTCCCTGGTGCTCCATCCCTTTCCCAGCTCCCTGCATTTCCCTGCCCCATCCCTTTCCCTGCCCAAACCCCACAGCCACACCATCCCAAAGCCTCCTCACCATGGATAATTCTCCAGGAACGCTCCCAGTGATCCCATACCCACAGCAGGCCCCGAGCTCATCCCAAACCCTGCCCAGATATTGACCTTTAGCTCCTCCAAAGGCTAAGCCAGCTCTCCCAGCAGCCAGGAGGGACCTGCAGCAGGGAGAGTTTCCAAACTCCACGCACAAAGCCTGCAGTGGCCGTTCCCAGGCTTTGGAGGAGCGCAGCCCAGTTCCAGTGTCCCAGCACAGGTTTTCCTGGAGCAGACAGAGCTTGGTGTGAGGCACAGAGACCCTGATGGAGCTGCTGATTGCAGCAGGGAGGGAGCTGGGAGCTGGGACGTGAAACCAGAGAGGGGAAACATTTAAAGCTTTAATCTTGGAAACAGCTTCCTGATAGGAGATTTATGAGCACTGGGAATTGTCTCCTTTGCAGAGGGCTGGAAGCTGTGCTGCTGAAACCAGACCGGATAAAAGGGGAGACAACACAGCAGGAATGGATTTGGGCTGAGCTGAGGGCAGGACCCCGAGGTTCCCCCCAAACCCACACCTGGGGCAGGAGGGACCCGCAGAGCTTGTCACGGCACTCAGCACAGCTCCAGTGACACAAAGCTCTCTCCCCATGGCAGCCGCTCCTGGGGCTTTACACAGCCTCATTTTTGGCCAATTCCTGCCGTGGTAGCCAGACCCCAGGGCTTGACACATCCGACTTTTGTGTGGGAGCCTGTGGAAGGGGCAGGTTCATTAACACGTGTTTAACTTGGACCTTGGAGGAGCTGAACTTTTCCTGACTTAGCTCTCCCTGTATCTATATCCCACTTTCCTGTAATCAGCCTTTCCCTTTTTCCTGCCTTGGCCTTTCCCAGTGAGTTCCTGGGTATTGGTTTTCTCTGGAGCTGCTGGAGGATGTGGGAGTGACAGCTCTGGCCTTCCAAGCTCTGTATTCACCCCACACTTATCCAGCTCCTCCTTCCTTCCCCTGGCTCCTCTTCCAACCTCAGCATGACCTGAAGGGCTGAAAAGATGAAGGAGATAAGAGCCAGCACCTCTCCAAACCCAGCAGAGAGAGTCATGGAATGGTTTTGGTTGGAAGAGACTTCAAAGCTCTCCCATTCCCACCCCTGAATGGCCACGGACATCTCCACTAGGCCAGGTTGCTCCAAGCCCTGTCCAGCCTGGGAAAGGCTTTGTTGGGAAGCTCATCCAAGGCTCAGCCTCGTAAAGCTGCCAAGCCAGAGCCCTGAGCAGGGATCAGATGCTGAAGTGTGACCTCAGCCGGGTGCAGAGCTCTGACTTCGGGCTTATTGCCCCAAAAAAACAGCAGTGAAATCACTTCATTCATCCCCAGAGCCTCGTTTCCTTCCTCCCTTCCTTCCCCCGGCCAAGCTGAAGCTTAAAATAGTATTTTGCATTCCTCATATTTCACTCCAGCACTAATTAACACCCAATCAGCCCAAAGCTCTTCCCACAGCAGCCTGGCCCCACGGTGCAACCTGCCCACCCTTGGCAGCAGCAGGAGCACCTAGCGGGCCCCCAGCTCCTCCCAAAAGCCATTTCTGATGGAGCATCTGGAAAGAACCGAGCTGAAACAGGAAAACACCAGAATTCCAGCCCCACGTGCACTTTTTCCTCTGCCCCACGTGCGCACAGAACCCTGCAGCGCCCATCAACAATCCCAACCTCGTGGGAATCCCCCAACACAACAAGCAGAGGTTCCAGCAGCTCCTAAATTAGGACAAAACCCACAAATTAAGCTGACTCCACATCCAGCCTCACGGACAGTTTGAACACAGCTTAAAAAATCTTGGATTCAGCGCAAGGCGTGGGACAGGGAAGATGGAGCCCAGCTCTTGCTGCACTTGGATTTCACAGCCTTTTCTCAGCCCTCTCAGCAGCCCAGGCCAAGTGTGAGTCAAACGGGGCTGGAAAGGAAACGTCATCCAGGAGGGTCCAAATGCGTCACCCACATCAGAGGTGAGACATCAGCCCCCTCATGCAGCATCTTCCACACACGCCAGGCTCAGAGGGTCTCGGAGGGGCTGTGGAACAGGAGAAGTGTAAAAAGTGGCACAAACATGAGGAAGATGTGGCAGCTACAGCGGAGGGAGGAAAGGTCAGACACAGCACGCCTGACGCATTTGTTTGGTTTTCAGCCCAAACTTCCACCCACGGACCAAAGGCAAGGGCGGCTTGAACACTACAGGCAGCTCATGAGCAAGAGCTGGTTCATGCCTGTGCATTTACCTCTTAAAAATAACCCTAAAATGACAAAGCAAGTACCCCACATCCCTGTAGAGCTGCATCCTCTCCCCTGACAGCTGTGAGGAGGAGGGAGCAGAAGGTGGGACCACAAGGCATCCCCAAAACCAGGGAACTGTTGAAGGAAATACAAAGGGGCACTTTGTGTATCCGGCTGATGTGACGCTGTTCGGCTGTAAGTTTAACTCAGTGGTCTCAGGGGTCCGCCCAGCCATGCCCACCCTCAGGGGCCATTACAGGGCCAGGCCTGGGGCAGCACCTCTGACCCCCTCACACCCAGGCGCCCCTAAAGTGAAGCCTTAAGGAGCTGCCACAAGGGACAACACCTCTCTCCAAGGTACAAGGGCTGTACAACGGCCTTCTTTCCCTGCTTGGGCAACCCTGACACTCATGAGGGGGTTGTGGCAGTCCCCGAAGCGGCCTCGGAGGGCGTACAAACAGCTAAACACACACACCACAACCGACTGCGGCTTCCGCCGCTCTGAAGGGAGCGCGCCTCAGCCGGGCCCTTTTATACCGCGCGCGCCCGGCCACGTGGCCCCGCCCCGCCCTTGACGTCATCGCCGCGCGCGGCAGCATGGCAGCGGCTCTGGCGCCCGGCGTGGCGCCGGTTCGAGCCCGGTGAGTGCGGGACCGGGGCCTCGGCCCCTCCTGAACCCCCCGGGACGGGCTCCACCCCTCTGTAACCCCCCCAGAACGGGCTCGGTCCCTTCATAACCTTCTCTGGTATGTGTTCGGTCACTTCATGAACCCCCCGGTACATCACTGACCCCTCCATAAGCCCCCCACTACATTCCCGACCTCTCCACACCCCCCCAGTCCGTGCCCAGCCCCTCCTGCCCCGGTTCCCCCCCATACCACCCCCTCCTGACCCCCTTTCCCACGTTCCCCGCAGGTTCCTCACCTCCAAGGAGCAGTTCCACGCCTACCTGCGGGCAGGGGGCGAGGAGGAGGAGGAGGAAAAGGAGGAGAAGAAGGAAGAGGAGCAGGTCAGCGAACCCCCAGCCAAGAGGGTGAAGGCAGAGGAGCTCGGCCAGGATGGGGAGAGCCAAGGGAATGCTGGAGAGGAGGAGAAGGAGCGTCCAGAAAAGAAGAGAGCCCGGGGGCAGAACAAGAGCCGCCCCTGCATGAAACCCAACTGCTACGAGCAGAGCAGGCTGTGCCCCTCGGTGACACAGGTGGGACACACAGCCCTGCTCTGCCTGGCTTAGTGGGATTTGGGGACGGGATTAATCCCTGGGAGGGTGGGCAGGCCCTGACACAGGGTGCCCAGAGCAGCTGGGGCTGCCCCTGGATCCCTGGCAGTGCCCAGGGCCAGGCTGGAGAGGGCTTGGAGCAGCCTGGGATAGTGGGAGGTGTCCCTGTAGGTAGGACTGGATGGGATTTATGGTCCTTTCCAACCCAGACCAGGCTGGAATTGCATAAAAACCAGGTGGGAGGGGGTGACGTGGGATGAGCTGAGTGTAACTAGTGAGGTGTCACCTTCCTTGAAGTGTGTCCATCCCCTCCATTGTGTCCATCCCCTCAATTGTGTCCATCCCTCCACTGTGTCCCATGTCCATCCCTCCCCTTGGCACCATTCCCTCCCTGCCCGGGCAATCCCAGGTGAGGCTCAGAGCCCTCTGTGCCGTCCTGCCCCGTGCCCACCCTGCCCCGCTCCGTGCTGTCCCCAGGGCCGTGGCGGGCAGTGCCACTTTGGGCCGCGCTGCCGCTTCCTCCACGACGTGTCCCAGTACCTGGCGGCCAAACCCGCGGACCTGGGCCAGCGCTGCGTCCTCTTCGACACCTTCGGCCGCTGTCCCTACGGTGTCACCTGCCGCTTCGGCCAGGCCCACCTCGGGGACGGCCACCAGAACCTGGTCAACGCCTCCCTGGTGCAGCAGTGGGAGGGGAAGGTGCTGGTGAGGAACGGCCTCTCCAAGGAGCTGCAGCAGCAGCTGCGCAAGAGGAAGTTCAGCTTCCACAAGGCCGAGGAGTTTCTGCGTGGGCTGCGTGCTGGGAAGGGAGGCAAAGCCACGGGGAGCTCCACAGAGGTGTCCAACTGCACTGATCCCCAGGAGGGCCTGAGGGACAGCCCTGTGCTGCAGGAGCAGGGAGAGGATCCCAGACCTGAGGCCCTGCAGAGCTCCCGAGGGGCTGAGGGTGCTCCCAGACCTGAGGTTCTGCAGAACTCCAGAGAAGCTGAGGGTGCTGCCAAACCTGAGGTTCTGCAGAACTCCAGAGAAGCTGAGGGTGCTGCCAAACCTGAGGTTCTGCAGAGCTCCAGAGGAGCTGAAGATACCCCCAAACCTGAGGTTCTACAGAACTCCCAAGGAGCTGAGGATGCTGCCAGACCTGAGGCTCTGCAGAACTCCAGAGGAGCTGAGGATGCTCCCAAACCTGAGGTCGTGAGGAACTCCCAAGGAGCTGAAGGTGCTCCCTCCATCCCAACCCTGGGCCCGCTGACAGATGAGGACATCACGAAGCTGCGGCCGTGTGAGAAGAAGAAGGTGAGAGTCCCTTGTGTCCTGGTCCCGTGGTGGAGATTGTGCATGGAAAGAGGGAATAAAACCCCTTGGAGAGCCTTTAGCTGGGGGAGGCAGGCAGAGCATGGAAGGAATTCCTCCCTGTGAGGGTGGGGAGGGGCTGGGATGGAATTCCCAAAGCAGCTGTGGCTGCCTCATCCCTGGAAGTGTCCAAGGCCAGGCTGGACAGGGCTTGGAGCACCCTGGCATGGTGAAAGTTGTCAATGCCCATAGCCAGGGCATGGAATTGGATGACCCTTCAGGTCCTTTCCAAGCCAAACCATTCTGTGATTCCATAAAAACCGCTGCAGCTCTGCTGACCTGCTCCTCCATCCCTGTTTTCCAGCTGGATATCCAGGGCAAGCTGTACCTGGCTCCACTGACCACGGTAGGTTGGTGACTCGCTGGGGGCACGGTTGGAACGGAGCAGATCTCCTGACAGTCCCTGCTGTCCCTGGCAGTGTGGGAACCTCCCGTTCCGACGGATCTGCAAGCGTTTTGGGGCAGATGTCACCTGTGGGGAGATGGCTGTGTGCACCAACCTGCTCCAGGGCCAGTCCTCCGAGTGGGCTCTGCTCAAGCGCCACCACACCGAGGACATCTTCGGGGTGCAGGTGAGGCTTCCCCCCCACAGCCCACCCGGGGCTCCCTTCCCAGGGGAAAAGCTGCCTCTGGAACTCAGGGGAGCTCCTTCCCTCTGGCAGCTGGAGGGAGCCTTTCCAGACACCATGACCAAGTGTGCAGAGCTGCTGAACAGGACAATCGACGTGGATTTTGTTGACATCAACGTCGGCTGCCCCATCGACCTGGTCTACAAGAAGGTGAGAAGTTCTGTGGTGGGTTTTCCTTCCATGAGTCCTTGTCCTCAGCCTCTGCTGCCTGATTGCTCTTTCCAGTCTGATCCAGAGCTCCCAGTCCATTTATGATCTCATGAGAAGGGGAATAAACTGCTCAAGGAGCAGGGAATGGCTGTCTCTCCCTGGTGGGATTTGGGAGGGAAAAACACTCTGGAGAATTTTTGGTTGAAGAATCCACTTTCTCCAAACTCTGAGGTGCCCCAAGGACTCTCCACTGTGTGAGGAAGGTCCTGAGCTCCCTGTTTTGTCCCTCAGGGAGGAGGCTGTGCTCTCATGACTCGCTCCAACAAGTTCGAGCAGATCGTCCGCGGGATGAACTCGGTGAGTGGGAGCTCCTGGAGCTGAGCTGAGCTGAGCTGAGCTGGTGGAGCCCAGTCCAGCCTGGCCTCACCTTCCCACCTCTGCAGGTGCTGGATGTCCCCCTGACGGTGAAGATCCGCACTGGGGTGCAGGAGAAGGTCAACGTGGCCCACAAAATCATCCCCAGGATCCGCGAGTGGGGCGCGTCCATGGTCACGGTACGGGGACAGAGCTGTGGGGTGGTGCCTGGGGAGCTCTGCCTGGAGATGAGATTGGGGTGACCTTCCCCTGCCTTTTAGTGTCCTCTGCTAACAAAAGAGGGAAACTGAGGTGCAGAGAAAATTCCTCCCTGCTCCTGAGCCTTGGGTCCCTGAGCGTGGAATCCCAGAATGGTTTGGGAAGGGCCCATCCCTGGGTGTGTTTAACAAAGCCTGGGTGTGGCACTGGGCTCAGTTGAGGTGTTGGGGCTGGGTTGGACTCAATGACTTTAAGGTCTCTTCCAACCTGGTCATTCTGTGAATTCTGTAAATCCAGATGTGGATCCCAAGGGATTCCTTACCCAGCTCTGCTCTCAGCACCATCGATCCTGAGGCACATCCCAAGGTTGAACCCAAGGTGCCAGGGTTCAGTTGAGATATTGGGGCTGGGTTGGACTCGATGATCTTGAAGGTCTCTTCCAACCCAGTGATTCTGTAAATTCTGTAAATTCAGAGGTAGATCCCAAGGAATCCCTGACCCAGCTCTGCTCTCAGCGCCCATCGATGCCAAGGTCGATCCTGAGGTTGATCCCAAGGCTGATCCCAAGGTGCCAGGGTTCAGTTGAGCTGTTGGGGCTGGGATGGACTCACTGACCCTTAAGGTCTTTTCCAACCTGGTCATTCTGTGAATTCTGTAAATCCAGAGGTAGATCCCAAGAGATCCTTTACCCACCTCTGTTCTCAGCGCTCATCGATCTTGAGGCCCATCCCGAGGTTGATCTCGAGGTCAGTCCCGATGTTGATTCCATAAAAACCATTGCAGCTCTCCCAAAGTCCATCCCAAGGTCCATCCCAAGGCCCACCCCAGGGCTCCCTGCCCCATGGTGCTGTCCCTGTCCCTGCAGTGATGTCCCTGCTCTCTCCCCACAGCTGCACGGGCGCTCGCGGGAGCAGCGCTACACGCGCAGCGCGGACTGGGCTTACATCGCCGAGTGCGCCCGCCTGGCCAGCCCCATGCCTCTGTTCGGTACGTGGGGCACCCCTTGGCACCCCTTCCTTTTCAAATCCCCTCCAAATGGGGGAAAAGAGCGTGTTCCTGGGGGGTTCACGTCCTCTGAACCTGAGAGAAGCAGAGAAAAGAATGATCAAAACAATTCTTGTCTCATTCGCTGCTGCTGTGTTTGTGCCACAGCAGAATGAAATATGGAGATTGTTCACCCACAGTGATGGTGGTTTGGTTCCTTGGCCTGTCAGGAAATAGCCCCATATTATTCTGCACAGAGAAAAGCAAGGCACAGTTCTTCCCAAGAATATTTCTGAGGTTCGCATTCTCTGAACCTCAGAGAAAGGAAAACAAATTCTGATCATTTTCTGTGCCTGTGTTTGTGCCAAAGTAAAATGCAACGTGGAGATTGTTCACCCAAGGTGATGGTGGTTTGAGTGCTTGGCAGGTTCAGTTTAGATGTAATGTAATATAATGTAATATAGTATAGAATAATATAATACCATAAAATAATTAATTAGCCTTCTGATATCCATGGAGTCCTCATCATTTCTCCCCCTCATGGGGGTCACCTTGTTACAGTTATGTTTCCAAGGATGCTTAGCATGGGGAAAAGGTTGGAGCATCCCTGGTTTTGCATTTGCTGGGTCCCTTGTGGCAGGAAGGAATGAGGAATCTGACTCCATGTTCTCAGAAGGCTGATTTATTATTTCATGATACTATTTTATATTAAAGAATATATAGTAAAGAATTTATATACTTTATATATATATATACACTATATTCTTTATATACTAAAGAATACAGAAAGGATACTTACAGAAGGCTAAAAAGGTAATAATAAAAACTCTGACTCTCTCCAGAGCCCTGACACAGCCTGACCCTGACTGGCCAAAGAGTCAAAACAATTCACATGAAACCAATGAAACAATCACCTGTTAGATAAGCAATCTCCAACCACATTCCAAAACAGCAAAACACAGGAGAAGCAAATGGGATAATTAATTATTGTTTTCCTTTTTCTCTGAGGCTTCTCAGCTTCCCAGGAGAGGAATCCTGGCAAAAGGGATTTTTCAGAAAATGTGAACGCCACCCCTGGTGCCAGACGTGGTGCCAGAAGGAAGGGACACCAATCACTTGGCTTTTAAAGGGGTTTTCTTGGATTTTGTGGCACAAAATCCCTAAACCTCCAGGGAAACGGAAGGAGAACAGAGGGGAAAGCTCCTTTTTCCCTTGTAAGGGAACATCCATCAGAAACATCCCTGGGAACCCAAAGCAGGAGCCTCTTTGCACCATCTGGCCCTGGGACATTGTGTCCATGCTGAATTTCATCCCATGCCTGCATTAGCTCACTTTGACTTGTCCTCACGGATCTCTCTGACCTCTGGCTTCTCCTCCTCTCTGGGCAGGAAATGGGGATATTTTGTCCTATGAAGATGCAAACCGAGCCATGCAGATGGGAGTTTCTGGAATCATGATTGCAAGGCAAGTGCCTGTGTTTCCCTTCACTCCTGAGCTCTGGTGGTTCCAGAGGGGGAAAAAAAAAATAAAAAGAGGATTAAAAAAATCCCTAAACAAACCCAAAGCATGGAATTTCCTCTCAGTGAAGCCACCCTGAAAATTGGAGAAATCAGTTTGTATCAGTTGGAATGGAAAAGAAGATTTAAAGCAGAAATCAGTGCTGGGAAGTGTCTCAGATCTTCAGGAGCATCAGTGATGGGAATAACTATTTTATTTTATTTTATTTTATTTTATTTTATTTTATTTTATTTTATTTTATTTTTATTTGGCTGCAGAGGGGCACTGATCAAACCCTGGCTTTTCACTGAAATCAAGGAGCAGAGACACTGGGATATCTCCTCCAGGGAGAGGTTTGACATCCTCAAGGACTTCACCAACTTTGGCCTCGAGCACTGGGGCTCAGACACTCAGGGAGTGGAGAAAACCAGGAAATTCCTGCTGGAGTGGCTCTCCTTCCTGTGCAGGTGATGCTGCCCAGCCAGGGGGATCTTTAAACGATAATTAATTCATTAATGAACCCCCAGCACTCATTTCCTTTCATTCTAGGTACATCCCAGTTGGGTTACTGGAACATCTACCTCAGAAAATCAACGAGCGGCCTCCCTATTACCTGGGCAGGGACTACCTGGAGACCCTCATGGCCAGCCAGAACGTGGATGATTGGATCAAAATAAGGTCAGGAGGCATCAAATCTCATTCCAGTTGCTCAGAAGGGACATGGCAGAGCCCCTGTAGGGCCACAGGGTTGTTTGACAGCTGGGCGCTGAGCACTGAACCCTCCTTGGGTTTGGTTTTTTGTTGTTTTTCTTCCCTGGCAGTGCCCAAGGCCAGGCTTGGAGCAGCCTGGGACAGTGGGAGGTGTCCCTGCCATGGCAGGGGTGGCACTGGGTGGGCTTTGAGGTCTCTGGATTCATTCTGTGATTGATTCCTTCCCCCAGTGAGCTGCTCCTGGGCCCCGTCCCGCCCAGCTTCACCTTCCTGCCAAAGCACAAGGCCAATTCCTACAGATAGGGCTGGCCTGGCCCTGTCTCTCGGCGTCAGGAAGACTTTGGATGGGCTGTGAGAAGGAGCAGGGCTCCTGGCAGTTGGAATAAAGCTGATGTTTTTAGAAGCTGGTGAGTTTTTTGCCTTCCTGCGTGCCCCACACCAATCCTGGCAGACAAACTCCTGTTGGTGAGGGGATCTTTGCCTCCAGTTCACAGCCAGAGCTGTCCCAGCTGTCCCACATCGCTGGGAAAGAGCCCCAGTTCCCACCAGGATGTCCTTGGGAGTGACAAACTCCCAGGACGAGGAGCAGCAACGTCCCCCCAGCCCCTCTGCAAAACACAGGAGAAGCAAATGAGATGTGTCACTACCAAGGTGACACAGAGCTGGTGCTCAAACTCCACAGAGAAGCCTCTCAAAGAATTCTGAAGGCTCTGGGGACAGTCTGGAGGGTCCCAGCAGCATCCCAACACCTGGGGGTCCCCAATGGCACCAGCAGAGTGGGGAGAGCGACGGTCCCAGCACTGCTGACACCCAGCATGGCCACCTCCACAGGAAACCACAGCTCCCCAGCCACGCTGCTGCCCCCAAACCGAGGTGCCAGGGACAGGGCAGGGCTGGGGCACGGCGGAGATCCCCTGGACCATCCCCAGATCACCCCACCGCAACCCCTGGGCGAGCTGGTGCCTCGGTAGGCGTCATGGCGGCCTCCTTTGCCTCGGTAGCTGTCATGGCGGCCTCCTATGCCGCGGTAGCGGTCATGGCGGCCTCCTGTGCCTCGGTAGCTGTCATGGCGGCCTCCTGTGCCTCGGTAGCTGTCATGGCGGAGGCAGGAAGCGGGCGTCATTGTTGTCACGTGACCCTCTGCCGGTTCCGTGTGCGGGTGGCGGTAACGCCCGGTAGGGGCGGGGGGGGCGCGGGGGGGACCGGGAGGAGCCGCAGGCACCGGGAGCCGGGCGGGTGTCCGGGCAGGGGCGCTGGGCACCCAGTGGGGTAAGTGCAGGGTACGGAGATAGCGGGGGTGAGCGGGGGGCGGGCCGCGGGGCGGGATGGGGGGAACTGGGGGACAGTGGGGGACAGTGAGGCGATGGCTGAGGGGTCGGGGGGTGTGGAGCAGTGGCGGCACTGGGAGGGGGCGGCAGGGGCAACTGGGACACGCAGAGGAGAGAACTGGGGGGCACTGGGAGGAACTGGGAGGATACCCAGCCCTGAACTGGGGGCACAGGGGTACTGGGAAAACTGGGGCGGTACCAAGGCCCTTACTGAGATAACTGAGGGATACCCAGGCCCAAACTGGGAGAACTGGGGGGCAGTGGGAGGGTGCCCAGGCCCTTACTGGGGGGCACTGGGGCACTGGGAGGGTACCCAGCCTGAACCGGGAGAGCTGGGGGGCACGGGGTCAGCCAGCAGTGACTCTGGGGCCGTTCCCATTCCTGTGCCAAGACCGTGCCCAGGCTGTTCCCGTGCCCAGGCTGTGCCGTGCCCAGGCCGTGCCCAGGCTGTTCCTGTTCCCATTCCCGTGCCATTCCAGGCCGTGCCCAGGATGCTGCTGCGCTCGTGGCGCTCGCTGTTCTCGGGCCGCCTGCTGCTCCTCACCAACACCGTCAGCTGCGGGGGGCTCCTGGCAGCCGGGGACATCCTGCAGCAGGAGTGGCACCGCCGCAAGCACCCCCAGAGCCAGCTGCAGCTGGGGCGCACGGGTGAGAGCTGGGGGCAGATCCCACTGCCAGGGCAGGGATGGGCACTGGGAGGGGCTGGGATGGACTGTCAGGACAGGGATGGGCACTGGGAGGGGCTAGACAAGTCCCCTGCCCTCACAGCAAGGAATTCCTTCCCAAAATGCCCTCATGGACACTTCCAGGGCTGGGGGAAATCCATCCCCTTCCAGGGATGCAGGAGCTGGGAAATCCATCCCCACCCTCACAGGGAGGAATTCCTCCCCCAAATACTTTCATGGACATTTCCTTGACCTCCATCCCAAATCCCTGAACCTTTCCCTGATCTCCATCCCAAATCCCCTGAACCTTTCCCTGATTTCCATCCCAAACCCCTGAACCTTTCCCTGATTTCCATCCCAAACCCAGAACCTTTCCCTGATCTCCATCCCAAATCCCTGAACCTTTCCTGGGATCCATCCAGGGCTCCAGGGACAGCCATGACACCCACTCCCCCAGGGTGCCCTCGTTGCCCCCCAGCCGCGCTGTCCCTGTGGTTGCAGGCAGGATGTTCGTGGTGGGCTGCAGCCTGGGTCCCCTGATGCATTACTGGTACCTGTGGCTGGACCGGGCGCTGCCGGCGCGGGGCGTGCGCTGCCTGCGCACCGGCATCAAGAAGGTGCTCATCGACCAGCTGGTGGCATCGCCCACCATGGGAGCCTGGTACTTCATGGGTACGTGGGGGGCTCGGGGGGCGCCGGTCCGGGCCCCAAATCCCGGCCCTGCAGCTCCTGGGGGGGCTGAGGGGTTGGGGTTGGTGCTGCCAGGTGCTGGGCTGGGTTAGGGGGGAATTCGGAGCGAACCTCACGGCTGAATTGACAAAAGGCATCACTGCAGCTCTGGCAGGGCTGGGATGGGGCCATTCCCTGGGGAATTCAGTGCCCAGCACCCTCTGGGGGAAGAACCTTTCCTGATCCCCATCCCAAACCCTGAACCTTTCCTGATTCTCCATCCCAAACCCCAGAACATTCCCTGACCTCCATCCCACCCCTGGCACAGCCCCAGCCCTTCCCCTGACAGATCTGTGCCTTCCCTTTCACTTTCCTTTCCATTTCCCTCCCTGCTGCCCTCCCCACTCACACTGGGAGGGGTTTGGGGCATTTCCCTCCCCATTTCCCTCCCCATTTCCCTCCCCATTTCCCTCCCCAATTCCCTCCCCATTTCCTTCCCCATTTCCCACCCCATTTCCCACCCCAATTCCCTCCCCAATTCCCTCCCCAATTCCCTCCCCATTTCCCTCCCCATTTCTCACCCCATTTCCCTCCCCATTTCCCACCCCATTTCCCTCCCCATTTCCCTCCCCATTTCCCTCCCCATTTCCCACCCCAATTCCCTCCCCATTTCCCTCCCCATTTCCCTCCCCAGTTCCCTCCCCAATTCCCTCCCCATTTCCCTCCCCAATTCCCACCCCATTTCCCTCCCTAATTCCCTCCCCAGTTCCCTCCCCAATTCCCTCCCCATTTCCCTCCCCAATTCCCACCCCATTTCCCTCCCTAATTCCCTCCCCAATTCCCTCCCCAATTCCCTCCCCAATTCCCTCCCCATTTCCCACCCCATTTCCCTCCCTAATTCCCTCCCCAATTCCCTCCCCAATTCCCTCCCCATTTCCCTCCCCAATTCCCACCCCATTTCCCTCCCTAATTCCCTCCCCAATTCCCTCCCCAATTCCCTCCCCATTTCCCTCCCCAATTCCCACCCCATTTCCCTCCCTAATTCCCTCCCCAATTCCCTCCCCAATTCCCTCCCCATTTCCCTCCCCATTTCTCACCCCATTTCCCTCCCCATTTCCCACCCCATTTCCCTCCCCATTTCCCTCCCCATTTCCCTCCCCATTTCCCACCCCAATTCCCTCCCCAATTCCCTCCCCAATTCCCTCCCCATTTCCCACCCCAATTCCCTCCCCATTTCCCTCCCCATTTCCCTCCCCAGTTCCCTCCCCAATCCCCTCTGACCCCTCCTGTGCCCGCAGCCATCGGCACCCTGGAGGGCCAATCCCTGCAGGAGAGCTGGGACGAGCTGAAGGAGAAATTCTGGGAGATGTACAAGGTGATGCCCTCCCTGAGCCGCCCCCTGTGCTGCTGGGAGCCCAGGGCAGCCCCAAACTGCCCCTTGTCCCCCCTTGTCCCCCCCTGTCCCTCCCCAGGCTGACTGGAGCGTGTGGCCGGCGGCGCAGATCCTCAACTTCCTCTTCGTGCCACCCCCGTTCCGTGTGGCTTATGTCAACGTGGTGACCCTGGGCTGGGACACCTACCTGTCCTACCTCAAATACAGGGTGAGCCCTGCCCCTGAGCCCCTGCCAGCCCTGCGAGTTCTCACAATTCACAAAATTCACAAAAATTCGCAGAATGACCGTGTTGGAATACAGCCTAAAGTTCATTGAGTCCATCCCAGCCCCAACAGCTCAACCAAACCCTGGCACCCAGTGCCACACCGAGGGATGGTGACTGCACCACCTCCCTGATCCCCAGGACTTCCCAAAATTCCCCCAAATTCACAGAATTATCAGGTTGGAAGAGGCCCTAAAGGTCATTAAATCCAACCCAATCCCAACACCTCAACTGAGCCCTGGCACATCCAGGCTTTGTTAAACACACCCAGGGATGGTGACTCCACCACCCCCCCAGGAAAACCATTCCAGAACTTTCTCCCTCTTTCCATAAAAACGGTTTTCCCAATATCCAACCCTGAACCCAGCTCCAGGCTGTGCCCTCTGGTCCTGTCAGTTCTGCAGACAGAGCCCAGCCCCAGCTGAGCACGGGCACCTTTCAGGGGATGTGCAGAGTGATGGGGGCACCCCTGAGCCTCCTTTTCTCCAGGCTGAGCACGCCCAGCTCCCTCTCAGGGTTTGTGTTCCCTGTTCCCAGCCCCGTTTGCCCCCTCTGGATGCTCTCAGGCGTCTCAAAGTGCTTCCCAAGCTGAGGGGCACAGCCAGGACAGGATTCTCTCCCTGCTCTGGGCAGTGCCCAGCAGAGGGTCAGCATGGTTTATTTCCCTGCTCTGGGCAGTGCCCATCTCACCCTGGGTGTTTTGCAGCCCCGCAGCCCCGGGCAGGAGCCCCCACGGCAGAGCCCGAGCAGCGCCGGGGCCTAGAGAGGCTCGAGGCCGTTCAGAGCATCCTGCAGACGGACCCAGATGGACCCAGAGGGATTTCCGTGCATTCCTGGCCTTTGTGGAGCGCCCCAGCCGAGGGAGGGCATGGCCAGAGCCACCCCTCCTTGTGCCTGCTGCTGATTAACTCATCTGCTAATTACAGCCGTGGGCTGGGGCTGGAACAATCTCTTGCTGCAGGAGAAGCTGTAAAGTGATTTCTTGTGGGATTTGCCCGCAGAGCCGGGGTGAGGAGGAGCTGCTGCAGCCCCTGGGAAGGGCCTGGCTGGATTTGTTCCCTCTGCAGAGCAAAGCAGGCCCTTGCTGCTCCTCCAGCACCTCCCAGCCCCACCGAGTGGAAATGGGGAAGGAATTCTGCCCTGTGAGGGCTGGGATGGAATTGCCAGAGCAGCTGTGGCTGCCCCAGGGCGGGTGGGAGCAGCCTGGGATGGTGGAAGGGGTGTGAAGGGATGGGATTTCAGGTCATTCCAGCCCTGCCCCGCCGTGGCTGCTGCTCTGCTCTCCCTGCAGCTCCTCTCTCCTTCCCCTCGTGCTTTTCTCAAGGATGGAATCGCTGCACTCCCTCAGCTCCGGGGGCTGCAGCCACCTGGATGCTCTATAAATAGGGCTGGGGATGGGCTGTGATTGCACCCGCCGGCTCTGCAGAGGCTCAGGGGGGGCTGGAGCCGAATCCTGGCGGAGTTTGGGCCATCACACCCCTGTGCTCCCAGCCCTGGGCGAGCTGCACGCTCCCTGCGTATCCCAAGGACTGAATTATTGCCGGTGTCAATGAGAATTGCGTAAATGGGGGTTTTTAATTTGATTTTTAGAGCTGTGCCTTCATGCTCTGCCCTGCTCCCTGCTGTCACACACCCAGGGGGGATCAGCTCCTCCCTCAGCAGCAGCAGGAGCCATTTGGGGCACGATAATTTAAAAAAAAAAAAAATCTGATTAATTTTGCTCCTTTCTGGCAACTCAGGGACCCCGAGGAACTTCTGATCAGCATTGGTTTATTTCTTCACAACATTTCTTTTAATACAGTGATTTTTAGGAAATTGTACTCTTTTTTTTTTTTTTTTTTTTGACACTTTTGACATTTGTACAGTACAGTGTAACTCTTCCATAAGTAAACTTCACAAAAAAGAGGAGGGGGGGGAAAGGGGGAGGGAAGGAGATGGAATCATGATTGGGGGGGGGGGGGAAACAGAGGGAAATCTGTAAAATAAAGACACAGCGCTCCAGGAGAAATAAATAAAGGGCAGCTCTGTCATGGCTACGGGAATATCCACTTATTCACAGTCTCCACAGAAGCACAGAACTACAGGAACACGAGATCCCAAACCCCTGGAGCAAACCAGCCCTGCTCACCCCATAGACTCCCCAAACCGGGGCAGATTCACTCCAGTCGGCCCGGCCTCGCCGATGCATTGAATTCATTTTTTTTCATTTGAAATCTTATTATTTAAATAATAATAATAATAATAACAGTTCTGTCGTCGTTTGGTTGTGGGGGTGGGGGTGGTTTTTGTTTTTTAAAAGTGATATTCACAAGCAAGGTTTACCACACTGAGAGAAACCAAAAAAAAAAACCAAAAAAAAACCCAAAAAAAATCAGAATATATATATATATAATATATATAAATGCACCACCACGGCCACAGCACAGCAGGTCACGCGCACAGCGTCACTTCCTACGCCTATTTACAAGGAATTTCTGTATGTACAAGGAGGAAGACGGCGGGAGCATAAATTAGCATCTATTTATACAAATAAACAAGAGTCAGGAAATATCCATCCAGCTGCAGGGGCAGGGGAGCGGCCGCAAAGAGCCCCCTGCACCAGGAGCTCTGGGGGTAAAAGGGGTGGGATGGGTTGGGGAGGGGGATTTGGGGGTCCTGTCACAGCACCCACACGCTGGGAAGGGGGTCCCAGGGTAGGGGGATCCCCAGGACAGGGGTCCCAGGGCACAAAAAAGGGCAGGGGGTCCCAGGACAGGGGGGTCTCCAGGGCAAGAGGTGCCAGGACAGGGGTCCCAGAGCAGGAAAAAGGGCAGGGGGTTCTCCAGGAAAGAGGGTTCCAGATAAGGAAAAAGGGCAGGGGGTCCCAGGACAGGGGCATCTCTAGGGCAGGGGTCTCCAGGCCACGGGGTCCCAGGACAGGGGGTCCCAGAGCAGGGAAAAGGGCAGGGGGGACCAGGACAGGGTCCCAGGCCACGGGGGGGTCTCCAGGGCAATTGGGGTCTCCAGGAAAGGGGGTCCCAGAGAAGGACAAAGGGCAGGGGGGTCTCCAGGACAAGGGGTGCCAGGACAGGGTGGGTGGGTGGGTTTCACCAGGGCAAATGGGGCTGGGGGTGATGGTTCCTTGACAGTGATTAAAAGCAGAATGAGGAGGGGCAGGGGGGGGAAGTTTTCTACCAGCCCAGGCTTAAAAATAAATTAAGGGGTGGGGGGGGGGGGGCATAGCCTAATGAATTGGGGCGGGGGCTCCTAGAGGGGCCGCAGCCCTTTCGGAGGTATCAGCAGCAAAAGCCCCCTCGGGACCCCCAAGAGGAGGAGCTCGGGGGGGGGGCGGGTTTGGGGCGCACTGACCGGATTTTGGGGAGATTTTGGGGGGGTTTTGGGGGGTTTTGGGGGGGCTGGCCCCTAGCAGGCACAGTCCTGGTGCGGGGGGGCCTGCTGGTCCGTGAGCTGGGGGCCCTGCTTGGCGCCGGTGACCGCGGGGTCGGCCGTGTCCAGCGACTCGGACATCTTCTCGCAGATGATGTCCACCAGCCTCTCGAAGGTCTGCTTCACGTTGATGTTGTCCTTGGCGCTGGCCTCGAAAAACTCAAACCCTGCGGTGGTGGGGAAGGAGGGGGGGACGGTGTGGAAGGGGACAGAGGGACAAGGGACACGTCAAAGATCCACGTCAAAGATCCAGCCCTGCGTGGCTCCTCCTCCTCCTCATTCAATATTTAAAGGGTTTGCAACCTGCCCCCACCACCCCCAAAATCCCGTTTTTCCCACCCAAAGAACCCCCCAGATCCTGCCCCCAGCCCCTCACAGAGAGCTGAAGCTGTGCAGCGGCTCTGTGGTTTTTCACCAGGTGCCAAGTCACCGCCGGTACCACAGCAGAGCGATTACACGCAGGGAATTAAGCCCTTAATTAAATTAACTGTGGGCTGGCAGGCGTGGTGGGGGGCTCCCCCTGCCCAGCTCACCCAGGTGCTCGGCGAGCTGGCGCCCCTTCTCCGAGGACACCACGCGCTCGTCCTCCATGTCACACTTGTTCCCCACCAGCAGCACCTGCGCGTTGTCCCACGAGTAGGTCTTGATCTGGGTGGACCTTGGGGAGGGAGAGGGGGGTCAGAGGGGCGGGGAGGGGGTGGCTGGGGCAGTTTGGGGTGCCCAGAGCCCCCCAGGGTGCTCACCAGTCCTGCACGGCGTTGAAGGACTCCTCGTTGGTGATGTCGTACATGAGGATGAAGCCCATGGCCCCGCGGTAGTAGGCGGTGGTGATGGTGCGGTACCGCTCCTGCCCCGCCGTGTCCTGGGGGACAGGGGACGGCTGAATGTCACCCAGGGGTGCGGTGACACCCCCAAAGGGGCCTCCCCATGGGGGCAGGTCCGGCCCCTGCCTGGAACCGCCGTGGTGGGGCAGCTCCATACTGAACATCACCCAAATGAGCGTTATCTCATAGTGACCATCACCCAACCGAGCGTTGTCCCAGAGTGACCATCACCCCACAGTGACCATCACCCCACAGTGACCATCACCCAACTGAGCATTATCCCAGAGTGACCTTCACCCCATAGTGACCATCACCCCTACACCAAGAATCCATCACCCCACCCCTCACTGACCATCACCCCACAGTGACCATCACCCAACCGAGCATTATCCCAGAGTGACCATCACCCGATAGTGACCATCACCCAACCAGGGATTACCCCATAGTGACCATCACCCCACAGTGACCATCACCCAACCAAGGATTATCCCACAGTGACCATCACCCAACCAAGGATTATCCCACAGTGACCATCACCCCACAGTGACCATCACCCCCACACCAACAATCCATCACTCCCACCACACCACACTGACCACCACCCTCACCATCCATCTCCCCACACCACCATCGCCCCCTCCCCATCGCCCCAGCCCAGCCCAGGGGTCTGGGGGCACTGGGGGCTCTCAGTGCTCACCCAGATCTGCAGCTTGATGCGTTTGTCGTTCCTGTAGATGGTCTTGACCTTGAAGTCGATGCCCACGGTGCTGACGAAGGCGGGCGTGAAGGAGTCGTCGGCGTAGCGGAACAGGAAGGAGGTTTTGCCCACGCTGCTGTTGCCGATGATCAGGATCTTGAACATGTAATCGAAGTTCTGGTCCGAGGATTCCTTCTGCCCATAGCGGGAGTCAGTAGCCGACGCCATCTGCAGGGTGGGGAGAGGCCGTGACGGGGCTGGCCCTGCTCGGAGCCGGTTCCCGGCACGGATTTGGGGTATTTTGGCTCAGGATGGGCCGTGGTGCGGCCATGGATGGGTCACCCTGCCCTGAAGGGCTCGGAGAGGGAGAGGCCACCTCCTGTCACCTGCAGAGCAGGGAACTGCGGTGCGTCCATGGTAAATGTGGGGCACGTGGCCCACGGCGTTTGCCACGGCCACAGAGATTCACCACGGCTGCCAGGAATTGCTGTGGGTGCCAGGAATTGCCACAGCTCTCAAGAATTGCCACAGCTGCCGGGAATTGCCCCAAGAATTGCCGTGGCTCCCAGGCTTTGCCGTGGCTCTCAGGAATTGATGTGGCTGCCAGGCTTTGCCATGGTTCCCAGGAATTGCCACAGCTCCCAGGAATTGCCACGGCTCTCAGGAATTGCCACGGCTGCCAGGCTTTAACACGGCTCTCAGGAATTGCTGCGGCTCCCAGGATTTGCCGTGGCTGCCAGTATTTGCCGTGGCTCTCAGGATCTGCCTGGTGGCGTTGCGGGTGCGGCCGGGGCGCCGCAGCCTCTCCCGCATCTTCCCGGTGACAAAATGGCACCGGCGGCGGTGCCCGGTGCCCCCGCACGGCGCGGCCAGCGCGGCGACAGGGACCGGGGGGTGGCACGGGGAGCCGGGGGGTGACACACAGATGCCAGGCAAGGGGGCACAGAGGTGGGTGCGCACCCAGGGAGGAGCGGGGGGATGCGGGATGGAGCACAGGGATGCGGGATGGGGATCCAGGAATGGGGTGCTGGGCGCTGATGGGCATTTTGGGGGGCTGCTGGAGGGGGGATGGATAGGGGGGGCTCATGGGGGGTGCAGGGCGATGCAGGGAGGGGGTGCAGGGTGCTGATGGGGGTGTCAGGCTGCGGATGGGGGGATCAGGGTGTTGATTGGGGGGTTCAAGGTATTGATGGGGGGGTTCAGAGTGCTGCTCGGGGGGATTAGGGTGTTGATGGGGGTGTCAGGGTGTTGATTGGGGGGTTCAGGGTGTTCATGGGGGGGGTCAGGGTGCTGATTGGGGGGAGGTCAGAGTGCTGATGGGGAGGGGGTCACCTCCTGCTCCTCCCCGCAGGCCCGACCCCGCTGCACCCACTCGGTCCCCGCCGCACCGAGACCCCCCCCAGGCCCTGCGCAGCCCCCCCCGCGCCGCATCCATCATCATCATCATCCCCCCCCGCCTCCCGCCTCCCCCGCTGCAGCCGCCCCTCCCCTCCCGGTGCCGGGGGGCACACAGGGGGTCTCGGGGGGGTCCCGGTGGGGGTGTGCCCGTGGGGGGGTCCCGGTGGGGGTCCCGGTGCTGGGTGGGGGGGGGGGGTCTCACCTCTGCCGCGCTCGCGCCGCCGCCTCCTCCCCGCAGCGACTGCAGCAGATGCGGAGCCCGGGTGACGTCGGCTGAGGGGCGGGGCTCAGCTATGCAAATGAGCATGGACGTCACGGGCGCGCCCCTGAGGGAGGCGCTGATTGGCTCGGCGGCGCGCTTTGATGGACAGCGGGCGGACGGGGGGGAGGAGAACCCCCCTCCCGGCGCGGTGGTGGACGCCGCTCCCCCCTCCGGCACCGCGCAGTGGTGCGGTCCGGCCGCGCTCCGCTGGGCGCGGGATGAACCACCCCTGCGCCGGCGGGGGTGTAGCGCGAACCATTCCCGCTCAGAGGGGGGGACGAGTTTTGACAACCTCCCTGTCGCGACATGGCGCGCTATCGCGACGCCTTCCCTAGGCCTGCAGTGGCGCGCAGGCTGATCCTTGCCGTGCCAGGGCGGCTGGCGCTGAGGCGGGGCTGGTGCGCAGGTGGGCGGCCATGTCCTCCCTCGCCCTGCGGCTCCAGCGGGGATTAGGGCCGGCAGCATATGGCGGCCTGAGGGCAGCGGCGCCGCCCTGGCCCCGGAGCCTCCCGGGCCCTGCCCTGCCCTGCCCCGCCCGGGGGCTCCGTGCTCTCCGTGCCCGTGCAGCTCCTGGCCCCTGCCCAGGCTCATCCCACACCCACAGCCCCGGCAGGACCGAGCCGGACGCGGTGGGCACGGGTGGGCAGCGGGGATGTGGAGCACGGCCCTCAGAGACGGTGGGGTGGCACGGGATGGGGTGGGCGAGCAGGGATGGAACCATGGGATGGACCCATCGATGGGGATGGAACCAGCTGTAGGATGGATCCAGAATTAATTAGGGATGGATCCAGAATTAGGGATGGATCCAGAATTAGAGATGGAGCCAGGCTCAGGGATGGATCCACAACTAGGGACAGATTCAGGCTCAGGGCTGAATCCAGGCTGCCGTGCCCATTTTCCATCACCTTCTCCAGCCAACAGCCCCACTGCTCTCATGCTGCAGCCCCCCAGCCAGAAACAGGGATAAAAAGGGCTTTTCCCACCTGCCCCGCTCCAGATGTGTGCTGGATCTGGATTTGAGGCATTTGAGAGCACGGAGCCTCAGCCCGTCCCTACCTGCAGAGACAGGGGGGCATCCAGCACCCACAGCGATGGCACCGAGCCGCCACCACCCCTGCAGACCCGGCACTCCCAAAACCCCGGGGAAGGCTGGGCTGGTGAAAAACCATCAACAGCCGAGGTTCCATTGCTGCTGCCAGGGCAGGCAGGGGGCGAGGGCCCCACGTGCCAGGGCAGTGCCCCGGGTGGGGCCGCGTTTGCGGGGATAAATCACCGTGGGCAGCAATGCGGAAGAGCCGGGAGCGGCCTGCGCGCCGCGCCAAGCCGGCGATTAAATATTTACCTTAGCAGGTCGTGTTTGCCAGTGATGGATCGGCGTTTCCAGGGAGGAGCCGCCTTTTGTTCCAGCGCACAGCCGGGCCCTGCCCGGTGCCCGGCGGGAGACGGGGCCGCCAACCACGGCAGTCCCTGGGGACATTGCCCGCGGCTCCCGTGACACACAGAGGCTCAGGTTAAGGGTGGAACAAACCGGGTTTAATCTCTGGGAGGTGAAGGAAGAATCCCAAAGGACCCTGCCCCAGGCAGGATAACGGAGATGGGGGTAAGGGGTGGTGGCAGCACCCGCCAGGGTCCGAAATGTGAAGTACAAATGGCGTTTGGAGTGATGACAGAGCAGAAATGGAACTTTCCTCCCCCCAAAAAATGCATCTTTCCGCCCCGAAAATGTGTGTGAGCCTCGGGGAGGCTCGTAGTAAAAAGTGAGCTACAAAAGGCTTTAAAAAGTGAACTTATCCCCCAAATAAATAAACCACTGAGCCGTGCCCGTGCCATGCCTGGGGGTGCCTCGTGCTGGGGGGGTCACGGGCACACCCTCTGCCCACCTGGTGCCACCACGGGGCTGCCGTCCTGCCAGGGGACACCTGGAAAGTGCTGGAATGCTCCTTCCTGCAGCCCTGTGGGGTGTGATGGCCCCAGGGCTGGGCTGGGCACAGAGCACAGGCTGGGCTGCCCCACACCCTGTCTGGAGGGACAGGGACCTGTCCCAGGACAAGGCCAGCAGTGTCCCCATGCCCTGTTAAAGGGGACAGGGACCTGTCCCAGGACAAGGCCAGCAGTGTCCCCAGCCCTGTTAAAGGGGACAGGGACCTGTCCCAGGACAAGGCCAGCAGTGTCCCCTGCCCTGTCTGAAGGGACAGGGACCTGTCCCAGGACAAGGCCAGCAGTGTCCCCACGCTCTGTTAAAGGGGACAGGGACCTTTCCCATGGACAAGGCCAGCAGCATCCTCGTACCTGTCAGGACCTGCCCAGCTCCCAGACGGGGACACATCCTGGGTGCCCCCGAGTCCCTGCAGTGCCAGTGCTCCCCAGCGTCCCCAGCCCTGCTCAGGGCAGTGCCCAGTCCCACGTCGCCCGGGGCCGGTGCCGCTACGTGCCCAGGGACAGGAATGTGACATTGCCCTCCGTGTCCAGGCACAGCCCCTCGCTGCCCTCGGGCCCTGGCACGGAGCCCCCGCTGCCGCCGTCCTCGGGCAGCGTCCCCTGCAGCGCCCGCCGGTTGTCCACGTCCCCGGGGCCGGGGCACGGGCGCTTGGTGTCGGCAGCCTCCGAGTCATCCGTGCCCGGCGTCTTGGAGCCGCTGTTGTCCTCGTCCAGGGGGCTCTCGGCGCCCTCCAGCTCCGTGTCCGACTCACCCTCCTCCTCCTCCTCCTCCTCCTCCTCCAGCGTCAGCTCGAACTGGAACTTGTCGGTGGCGGCGGGGGACGCGGCGGGCGCCTCGGGAGGAGGAGAGGGGCTGCGCGGGATCATGCTCTGGTACCACTCGCGGTTGTCTTCCAGCGTGTCCAGCAGCTCCTGCGCGTCGGGGTGCACCAGGTCGGCCCAGGTCTCCCACAGCGGGTGGGCGATGAAGTCGATGAATCCCACCTGGGGGGAGGCACAGCTGAGCCCCCTGCCCGGGCCTGGCACCTGCCTTGTCCCCAGGTGTGTCCCCAGGTGTGTCCCCCTGTCCCCAGGTGTGTCCCCATGTCCCCAGGTGTGTCCCCAGGTGTCCCCAGGTGTGTCCCCCTGTCCCCAGGTGTGTTCCCATGTCCCCAGGTGTGTCCCCAGGTGTCCCCAGGTGTGTCCCCATGTCCCCAGGTGTCCCCAGGTGTGTCACCCTTTCCCCAGGTGTGTCCCCAGGTGTGTCCCCATATCCCCAGGTGTGTCCCCCTTTCCCCAGATGTGTCCCCAGGTGTCCCCAGGTGTGTCCCCATGTCCCCAGGTGTGTCCCCATGTCCCCAGGTGTCCCCAGGTGTGTCTCACCTGGGATTTCTCCACGGAGGCGGTGTGCTTGTCGCACATGGGGCTGATCTCCATGCCCTTCTCCCGCTCCCGGTCCCCCTGGTGGAAGAACTCCACCATGATGCGGTCGGTCCACTGCCGGTACAGCTCCAGAGGCTTCGTGGGGTTGCTGAGGTCGGCGCAGTGCACCATGTTCTGCAGGACCTGCGGGCGTGGACAGCGTGTCCTCTGTCCCCCAGGGCCACCCACACTGGGCCACGAACCCGCTTGGCCCCCTTGATGGGTTTGGGATGGTGGTGGCACCAAATGGGACATCCCTGCAGGCCAGAGGATGGGCACCTGCAGCGTTGGGAAGGATTGCCCAGGTGTGTCCCCACCTGGATCCGGTCGGAGTAGTTGTCCAGCAGCAGCACGCCCAGGCTGGTCACCTTCTTGGTCTCCACCATGGTCTTCAGATCCGCCAGCAGGTTCATGTGCTTGGACATGTCCGTGGCCAGCACCTGGGCAGGCAGAGGTGGGAAGGGGTCCCAGCCTGGTCCCCCAGCCCAGACCCCACCCTGGGCAGCTGCAGCCCCCCATACCATGTCGATGACCATTTTACGGAGCGTCTGCCTCTGCTTCCTGCTCAGGTTCTGGAAGATGTCGCAGTTCTCCTCCTGCAGGAGCTTGAAGCCCACGGCCAGGTGGTGATTCTCCAGCACTGAGGCGTCGTTGTACATCAGGGCCAGCTCCGAGTCTGTGAGACAGCACTGGTCACCACGGGGTCACTCCTGGGGTCCCCCAATATCCCCCAGGTCCATCCCTGAGCCCCCGCTCACTGGTGTTGATGAGGAACTGGTTGGAGACCCCGGGGTGGTCAACGTCATGGATGGCGCTGGCAAAGATGGCAGCCAGGATCTCCAGGTCCGTGAAGACAGCCTGGGAATGGTGGGAACGGCATTGGGGACACGTGCCAGCCCGGCCAGCACACCTGGGTGCCCTCAGGTGACCGGAAATCACCTCCAGGGCCGGTGTGGAGAGCAGGACGTGCGTGGACTGCGCCACGTCGGCGGCGTGCAGGCTGTTGTGGTAGGCCACGTCGGCGTGGTAGTGATCCTCCAGCGTCAGCATGTAGGTGATGAAGGTGTTGACGGGGATGCGGAAGGTCTTCATCAGGTCCCGCTCCTGCAGGGAGGCACAGGTGGCTCGTCCCCGTGCGGGCACGGGGACGGGGACACCGCGGTGTGTCGCAGACATTTTTCACAGAAATCCTTTCTTTCAAATTTCTGTAGCTTCTGGGAAGCAAGGACCCCCAGAAGAAGAATGTAAACAATTGTTATCAGCTGCTGTAGATGCAATAAGATGCACCTGTGATTAGTTCATGTTCCCATGTTTATAATTAAGGGCCAATCACAAGAGCAAGCTGGGGACAGAGTCCCTAGACACAACTTTGTTATAAATTCTTTCTTTCTTTTCTATTTCTTAGCTTAGCAGCTCTGCAACTTCTCTCTTTATTCTAATTAGTATAGTTATAATGTATTATATATCATATATCAATAAATCCAACCTTCTAATCAAAAAACAAGATTCTTATCTTTCTCTCACCCCCAGCGACCACCTCAAGATGCTGTAATAGCGGTGGGAGGCTCACCTGGAAGATGCTGTACATGATGACGGTCAGCGGGCGGTTCCCCGAGTACTCGGCCACTTTGAACACGTCCAGCCCCCACTTGTTGGTGTCCTCGAGCTCCTGGGCAGCAGAGGGACAGAGATCCATGGGGGGCTGCTGCTGGGGACCCCTCGTTCGGGGGGTCACCCCTGCCGGGGCTGTCCCCACGTCCCCACCTTGGCCAGCAGCGCCTCGTGCTCCGTGCGCACCCCGAAGCGCGGGATGCCGGCGGCCGCCAGGCTGGAGCTGTGCTTGAGCTTCCTGACGCCGCTGATCTGGGACATGGGCCGCTTCCTCCGCTCCTTCTCCTTGTCCTTGGCCAGCACCGAGGGGATCTCCACCTCGTGCTGCTTGTCTGCGGTGGCACGGGCAGGCCAAGTGTCACTGCCAGCACCTCCCCGGGTGACACCGAGGACAGGCACGGGTCACACTGTGACAACTGGGGGGCTGCAGCATTTTACTTCACCCCCACCCACAGGCCACACATCTACCAGGGGACCCCTGACCACTCCTTGTAGCCCCAACAGCCCCAGTGCACCAGTATGCACCAGTATGAGCCAGCACTCCCAGCCAGGACAACGCTGTGACATGTGAGGGACAAATCCCACTGGGACACCCAGAAAAACCCCCCTGGTCCCCCCATTCCATTCCTCCACAAGAAGCAAGTGGGACCCTCCGCTGGCATCATCCCCGTGGGCACCCCAGCTCTCTGGGACACAAAGCCCACCCTGCTGCCAGCAGGAGGTGACCCTGGGGCGGGTTCCTCACCCAGGAAGGTGCTGGAGATGTACTCGGACACCTGGTTCCCCGAGCGGCTGGTCTCCGACAGGTGCGACAGCTCCCGGTTCAGCATCCGCTTGAACTGCGGGAGGGTGGCAGGGTCAGGGGCGTGGGGGGCTGGCAGGACATCCCTGGGGGCTCTGGGGTCCCCATGCCCCCCAGGGTGACTGTGAGAAGGTCCCTCACCTTGTTGGAGGCCATCTCGCCGACCGAGTGCCTGGTCTGCAGCGTCTCCAGCTGGTCCAAGCACCAATCCAGCTCCTCCAGGGTCTCCCTCGAGAGCTTCTGGTGGGCATCTTCTGCTGGGGACACCCGCCAGCTTGGCAAGGGACCCGCCAGCAGCGCGGCCACCCGGCACGGGGGGGCTGGTGCCACCCCAAATCGGGGGACTGGCCAGGCTGGGGGTTCCCAGCACCCCCCAAACGGGGCACGGGGGGGCACAGGGGGTCGGGCATGGCTGGGCAGCGGGGCTCAGCCTGTCCCAGCACCCCCCAAACGGGGCACGGGGGGGCACAGGGGGTCGGGCGTGCCTGGGCAGCGGGGCTCAGCCCCGGCACCATGTCCCCGTGGCCCGGCAGCCCCGGCACGCGGCGTGCCACGCTGTCCCGTGGGGTGACAGCCAGCCCCGGGGGCAGCCGGGCTCCCGCGGGGCCCCGCTCACCGCCGGCCTTTTATTAATGGAAGGTTTGACGTCAACCGGAGCTTTTCCACCGCCGCGGAGGGCGGGAGGAGCTGCCGAAAACCAGACATGGATCCCAAAGGGCAAAGCCGCAGCTCTGCCTCGGCTTGGGGGAGGCGGCTGCGCCCCCAGGGCACGGCAGGACACAGCCTGGGGACACGGGGACACGTCCCAAACCCTCCCCGCCACCGTTTATCCCGGTACTCACCGGACAGGCTGGCCTTGCTCCCCGAGGGCAGGCTGCTGCTCGATCCCCGCCTGTCAAACACGGGGGGCTCAGCAGCTGCGACCCCCAGAGCGGGGTGGGCCGGGGTCCCCACTCGGTGCCATCCTCGCCCTCCCACCCCTGCCCGCTCACTTGATGCCAGCGCGCTCCTGCAGGTGGCTCAGGTTGCTGCGGACGGTGCGGAGGCTGGCCAGGACCTGGGGGGCGACAGGGGGCTGGGGTCGGGCTGCGACCCCCCCGGGACCCCCACCCCGCTGCTGGCCGCAGCCCTGTCCCCTCTGTGTCCCCCTGGCACCTACCTGGGCAAAGGGGGTGACGATCATGTCTTCTCCATGCCTGCGGGAGCACAGCGAGCGTGAGCCGGGGCAGGGCAGGGAAGGGGGTCCCGGGGATTTGGGCTGGGGGGCACTCACAGGTCGCTGGCGATGGACGAGTTGCGGGACATGGCTTTGGGGGACAGGTCGTAGTCGCTGTCGGAGCGGTACAGGAAGGACTCGCGGCGCTGGCCGTGCGAGAAGGAGCCCTGCAGGACCAGCCCCGCGCCCGGGCTGGCCTGGGGGTCCAGGGCGCCCCTCCCGGGGGGGCCATTCTCCAGGTCAAAGCTGTGGGGGGAGAGGGGACAGGGCTGGCACGGGCACCTCGGCCCCGGGGATGCCGCCGGGTTTGCGGGGCTCTCTGTGCCACCGTCCCGCTGTGTCCAGCTTGGTGACCCTGTGGTGACAGCGGTGCCCAGCCTGGCCCTGCTGGCACCTGCTGAGAACGGGCACAGCTCGGTGCACAGGGACGCTCTCAGCTGGCACTTGGGACACTGAGCAGCAGAGCCAGGCTGTCCCATGTCACCCGGCTGGGACAGCACCCACTGCCCTGAAGCTCCCGGCTCCAGGGACCCCAGGAAGGGCTGGCACCTGCCTGTCCCTGCCCTACCTGTCACCACGGCCCCGAGTGCTCCAGAGCCTCCATCAGCCCCGTGTGGAGGAGCCGTGTCCCATGGAGGGGACAATATCCCAGCCCCGGCACAGAGCCAGGGGACATCGAAGGACAGAAAGCGCCGCAGAAGCCAAGCCCCGGCCCCTGGGGACGCGCTGGCGGCAGCCCAGGGCACCCCAGCCGGAGTCACCTGGCAGCCGTGCGCGTCCGGGGGGCGCAGGGGACAGCCATGGTGACCCTGCAGTGTCCCCGAGCCGGCCCTGCCGCCTCACCCACCCTGCCGGCCGCGGGGTCATGGGAAAGGCTGCGCAGAGCAGGGACACAGCGAGGGCCACCCCGCGCCTGTCCCCTCCCGCACCGCCACCGCCGCCACCAAACCGCCCCAGAGCTCCGGGAAGCGCGGATGCCACCGCGTCCCCAGCGTGTCCCCGCACGTACCCGATGCAGGAGTGCCTCCGGGACGGGCACCGGCCGCCCGGCAGCATCGTCCCGCTCCGGCAGCCCCGGCAGCTGTGGCGCGGCCGTGCCCGGCGGCGGCGGTGGCAGTGCCAGCCGGCACCGCGTCATGCCATCCCGCAGCCCCTTGTTTTCGTGCCTCGGCCGCCCATCCCCGATGGTACCGGCCGCACAAAGCCGCATTGTCCCTCCGACGGCCCCGTGCCACCACCCTGACCCCGCTGCCACCGCGGGGGACACGGGCCCCTGCCGCGGGGTCGGTGCCCGATGAACCCCCCTGGTCTGGGCGTGAATGACCTCGGAGCGGTGTCCGTGCCGGGGGGGCCGCTATAAACAGCGGCTGTGGCTGCCGAGGAGGGATGTGCTGAGCCCCACGGCGCCCCAAAACCGAGCCCGCGGAGCTCCGAGGCGGCGGGGGCAGCGAGGAGCCGCGGTGGCGGCGTCCGTGCCTTGATTTGGGGGCAAAGTCCCCTCTGTCCCCTCCGGGGTCGCTGCCACCAGCGTGGCCGTGCTCAGCCCCCTCCCCCTGACCACGAGGGGACACCGCTGTCCCCTCCGCGTCCCCACAGCCCCGGGGACGAGCCGCAGCCTCGGGGGGAGCCTTGTCCCCTCACCCGGCGGCAGCACAGGCCGGTGCCACCCCTCCAGCGTCCCCCCTTACCAGAGGGGATGCGCCACGGTGAAGCGCCGCTGCAGGCGGATGCTCTGGTTCATCAGGAGCTTCCTGAAGAGCACGGGAGAATTGCGGGGGGACGTGGCCGGAGAGGCCCCCGGGGAGCGGGGCGCGGCGGGCAGCATGGCCCGGCTCAGCGACCCCCGCGCGGCCCCGGTGCGGAGCGGGAGGAGCGCGGCCGCCCCGGCCCCGGCGGCCCCGGGAAAGTTTCCATCCCCCTCCCGCCCCGCGCCTGGGAAATTAAACAACTGTCTGGCTCCGGCGGCCGCGCACGGAGCCGGGCCCCCCCCGGTGTGCCTGCGGGCCGGGCACGTGGCCCCTCGCTGGCCCGGTGCCACCGGCCACCCTGCCGGCCCCGGGGCGGCGGCTGCTCCCGAAAGGGCAGGGGGGCTCTGCCCGGGGACGCGGCAAAACGGCCCGAGAAGCGCCCGGGGAGCCACGGAGGGACACGGCTGAGCACGGAGCATCCCAGTGTGTGTGACACGGTGCCACCGAGGGACACGGCTGAGTCTGGAGCATCCCCAACACATGGTGTGGCTGTGCCACGGTGCCACCAAGGGACACAAGTGAGTCTGGAGCATCCCCAACACATGGTGTGGCTGTGAAATGGTGACACTGAGGACAGAAGTGACTCTGGAGCATCCCTGACGCACGGTGTGGCTGTGACACGGTGACACTGAGGGACATAATTGAGTCTGGAGCATCCCCAACACGCGGTGTGGCTGTGACACGGTGCCACCAAGGGACACAGGGACGTGGCTGAGCCCGAAGCATCCTGAACTCGCAGTGTGGCATTGCCACGGTGCCACCAAGGGACACAGCTGAGCTTGGAGCATCCCAGACGAGTGCTGTGGACGTGCCACGGTGCCACCGAGGGACCTGTGAGAGCCAAAGCCACCCCACACCGTGCCCCAGCCCCTCCCTGGTGCTGTCCCCTCCTGGAGCCACCCCCGAGCAGGGTGAGGTGCAGCTGGTGGCAGCGACACTGGGGGGGACCCGCTGGGAGGTGGCACCTGCCCAGCCCGATGCAGCAGGACGTGGCTCCCGGCTGTTCCTGATGGCCCCAAAAATACCCAGCAGGCGGCAGGGAGCCAGGAGGGACAGAAACAGAGCCCCCTGCCAGGGGGGACCCCAAAACCAACGGGAAAGGGGTCCTGGAGGGGCCACCTTGGCCTGTCCGTGGGGACATCAGGGCAGAGGGGTGTGGGACAGGGACACGAGGGGATGTGGGACACAGGGAAGAGCCCCCCGTGCTGGCTGGCAGCACAGCCAGTCCCCGTGCCCAGGACAGCCCGTCCTTATCGCAGTGTCGCTGTCCCCACGTGTCTGTGCCGGACAAGTGACACCAGAGCCGTGTCCCTCGGCCGTGCCAGCTCCTCGCTGTCCCCACAGGCCGGGCTGGGAGAGGCACGGGACAGGGGGAACGGCCCAAAAATAGCCCTGGAGCGGCACGGCCGGGCCCGAGGCACCGCGGGAGGGAGCGGGGTCACCTCGGGCAGGGCCAGGCCGGGCCGGGGGTGGCTCTGGCTGGGACACGGGCGGGGACAGGGATGGGTGATGGGGGTGACAGGGACAGACGGGGATCACAATGCACGTCCCGGGGCTGGCACGGCGGGGTCGGTGACAGAGCAGTTTGTCCCCAACCCACCGGGTGCTCTGCCCCGGTGCCGCTGTCCGGCCGCCGGTGCTGAACCCGGGAGCGTCCCCCGCCAGCCGTGCCCTGCCCGGTAACCCGCTCCCGGTGCCACCGGGGCATCGCCTCCCCGCTCCCCGCGCCGCCCTTACCGGGGGGGCTCGGACTCATCGCCGCTGCTGGGGCCGCTCTCCTCGATGGTGAACACCACCCGGGCAGCCTCGGGCTCGGGGGCTCGGGCCGCCTCCGCCAACCGGCAGCCCAGCGGCGGCAGCAGCGGGGTCCCGGAGAAACGCCGGCGCACGGCGCCCACCGCCGCTCCCGGGGCGGCCTCGGCGGGATCGCGGCAGCGCTGCCGGGAGACGGAGCGGCGGTGAGGGGCGCGGGGGGCGGCACCGGGATGGGGGGGGGGGGTGTCCCTGCTGATCCCGGCCCGGGGGTCTCGCCCGGGCAGCGCCCCCGCCCCCCCCGCCGGCACCGAGCGCCGGTAGCGCGCCGGCGCCCCCTGGCGGACACGGTGCGGCGCTGCAGGCGGGGGTACCGGGGGTAGCTGGGCCGGGGGCACCGGGAAAGGCACAGCCGGGGCACCGGGAAAGGCCCCGCCCGCAGCGCACCGAGACACCGGGACTCCCCCTCCTCATCCTCCTCCTCCCGCTCCCGCCGCCACCGGAGAGGACCCCCCTGAGTTCCCCCGGGACCCCGCCGGAAAAACCCCCGGAGCCGGCGCGCAATTACGCAGAGGTGAATAATAATTAACCGCCCATTAAGGGGATAATTAACTCCCGCTCAGCGCCGCCAGCCCGGTTATTGCTGCCCGGGGGGCCGGCGCTGGGACGCTCATACCGGGGACACCCCTCGCCCCCCGGGACACCCCTCGCCCCGCCGGTGGCCCCGGTGCCGCTCTCACCTCCGCGCCGAGGAAGGGCAGCGCTGTCCGGCTCCGTCTCATCGCCGTCCCTGCGGGGGCAGCTCCGGTGCCGCGGCCGGGAGGGGCTCAGCGGCGGGGACCCCCCTCCCGCGGCTGGGGACACCCCGGGGCCACCGCGGGGCCGGGACGCGCGGGCTCCTCCCCGCCGTGATTCGCGGCCACCGGGGCTCGGCCGGCCTCAGCCCCCACCTCGGGTTTCGGGAGCCCCCCGCCCCACTCCCGGGGCTCCCGTGGGCTGCGTGGGGACAGCGACAAGGATTTGAGGCCACGGGGGGCGACCCCCAGCCCGCAGCACCCGCCAAGTCACGAACCCACCGGTGGCACGTTAATGATCCAGCCCGGACACCCGCCGCCCACCGCCCCCGAGCACCGGGGCGCACCCGCACCGATCCCCCGGGATCCGCCAGCACCGGCAGCGGCCTCATCCCCACCCCCGGCCCCGCCGATGCCCGGCACGGGGGTCCCCGGCGGCCGCAGCCCCCCGTCCCCGCCCGCAGCCCCGTACCGGTGCCCGGTCCTCGCGGCGAGCGCGGCCCCGGCCGAGTGCAGCGGAGCAGAAGGAAAGCGACGTGCGTGCCTGGCCGCTCGCTCCCTCCCTCCCATCGCACCTCGCCGGGGGGGCTGCGCGGGCCCCGCACCCCCGGCGGCACCGCCGCATCCCGGGCAGCACCGCCGCACCCCCGGTACGCGCCCCCCGCCGCACCGGGAACACCCCGCGGCCGCCAGCCCGGCCCGGGGCACCCCGAGAGCGGCCGGGGCATCCCCCGGGACCGGGGGCTTTCCCGGGCGGGCTGCAGAGCACACGGCAGACGGGAAGGCAGAGGCGGGAGCGGCTCCTTTATTGAGCAGCGCGGGGGCTCAGCTGGGGGTGCGCACAAGGGACCCCTCGGTCACTTTGCTCTGGGGAAAAAGAGAAAGAGAGCGCGGTGAGCGCCGCACCCCGGGGCCGCCGCCCCCTCCCCAAATCCCCCCACGCACCATGGGCACCTCATCCAGCTGCTGGAACGGGGGCGTCCCGCGCCGCGCCCGCCGCACCAGCAGCGCGGCCGCCGCCGCCAGCAGCGCGCACACGGCCAGGGAGAGCACAGCGACCACGGCAGGGCTCAGCTCGGCGGGGTGCTGCTCTGTGGGGCGAGACGGGCACCCCGTTATTCCCCCTGGAACCCCGTTATTCCCCCTGGCACCCTATCATTCCCCTTGGCATCCCGTTATTCCCCCTAGCATCTAGTTGTTCCCCTTGGCATCCCGTTATTTCCCCCTGGCACCCCATTATTTCTCCTCCTGGCATCCCGTTATTCCCCCCTACCACTCCATTATTCCCCCTGGCACCCCGTTTTCCCTCCTGGCATTCCATTATTCACCCTGACATCCTGTTTTTCCCCCTGGCACCCCATTATTCCCCCCACTGACACTGATGCCCAGCCTCCAAGCACCACGGAGAAAGAGGCGGCTCAATTCTGGCTCCAGTCACCCGACTGCCACCACCCCACCCATCACAGAGCTGGCACAGCTCCTGTGTCCCCTCCTGACCCCCCTGGCACTGGGGAACAAAAGGGGAGCCCTCAACAACCCCCCCCCCCAAGGAGGGGGGAGCAGCCAGGGGGGCTCTGGGCTCACTGTGGCACCTGCACCCCTGAGTGCAGCCCCAGGTGGGGGATCCAGGGGGTCCATAGCCATTCCCAGGCCCCCCAGGCTGGCTCTCACCGGAGCTCCCAGGGGCTGCTGTCCCTCTGGAGCTGCTGGTGACGCTGCTGGTGACACTGCTGGTGACACTGCTGGTGACACCGCTGGTGCTCACGGGGGCTGTGGGGGGAGAGGCGGGCCCAGAGGGGCTGGGTGAGGAGGGGGCTGGGCTGGATGGACGCTCTGTGGGTCTGGACGCATTCGGGTGGGACGGAGTTGGTGCCGTGGTGGCGTTGGATGGAGATAATGGAGGTGTTGATCCCGAGACATTGAGTGGAGTTGTTGGTGTGGTGGTGCTGGATGGAGATGGTGGAGGTGTTGATCTCGAGGTGTTGGATGGAATTGGTGTGGTGGTGTTGGATGCAGATGATGCAGGTGTTGATCCCAAGGTAATAGATGGAGTTGTTGGTGGGGTGGTGCTGGATGGAGATGATGCTGATCTCGAGGTGTTGGATGGAGTTGGTGTGGTGGTGTTGGATGCAGATGATGGGGGTGTTGATTCTGAGATATTGCTTGGAGTTGTTGGTGTGGTGGTGCTGGATGCAGAAGATGATGGAGATGGTGCTGATCTCGAGGTGTTGGATGGAGTTGTTGGTGTGGTGGTGCTGGATGCAGATGATGGAGGTGTTGATCCCGAGGTACCGGATGGAGATGATGGAGATGGTTTTGATGCCAAGGTGCTGGATGGAGTTTTAGGTGTGGTGGTGCTGGATGGAGATGCTGAAGATGCTGTTGATCCCGAGGCACTGGGCAGGGTTGGTGCTCTGGTTTGGTTGGGTGGAGCTGCACGGGCTGCTCCCAAATCAGGCCCAGATGAACTCACGCTGTGAGTGCCGTGGCTGGTGGCTGCAGGGGACAGAGACGGTGGCACGGCTGTCCCTGAGCTGTTCTGAGACACTGTGGGGACAGGATCAGTGCCAGCCCCGGCTCCAGCCCTCGGGGGAGGAGGGAGATGCTGAGCAAGGACAAGGCAGGGCCTGGCAGGGCCTGGCAGGGCAGCAGCACCTGCCCCACCTCCGGCCTCACAGGGACCATTCCCAGCTGCTTTGGATCACACACAGAACTGGGATTGAGCCAGCACCGAACCCCAGAACCCAGAACCAGAGCGAGCCCCCCGAGCTGCGGTGGCACGGGCACAGCACTGCCGGGCACAGGCAGGGCAGCGGGGCAGTGCCAGGGCACGGGGACACGTGCTGCCCCAGTCCTGGTGGCACCCACCGGGCACCCTCAGGGCCAGGGACACCCTCAGGGCCAGGTGTGGCAGGGACTCTCCCGTGGCCACGTGGGACGGAGCAGGTTTGCCTGGCAGCGCTGGCAGTGCCCCTTATCTGTCCAAACCCTGTTTGCACAACAGGAGGAGCGAGTCCAGGCTGGCCCCGGAGGGCCAGCGGGCAGAAATGCCCCGTGGCAGGGCCAGCACCAGGGGCACAGCGTGCCTGGGGGTCCCCACGGCCGCCAGCCTCGCTGGGATGGGCTGCCACCATCTGCCACCCTGTGCCAGGATGGCACGGAGCCCGTGCGTGCCAGGATGGGTGAGCGAGGCCCCTCGGGGTGCAGGGAGGGTATGGGGGGCCCAGGCTGGGAACGGGGGGCCCACGGTGGCCCGGGATACCGGGGAGCCCTTTGCCCCGGGAGCGCCGACGCGGTGCCAGGGTACCCGTGCCAGGAGCAGCCGGTTTGGCAGCCCGCGGTCCGGGAGGGGCACGGTGCCCCGGTGTAGCCCCCCAGAGAGCCCAGCCCCAGAGGGGACACGGAACCCCCCAGTGCCCCACTGGAGACCGCTACACGTGGAGACCTCCCCGAACGTCCACGGAGCACCTGGATGCTTCTCCCCACACCTGGAACCGGGCGGGGAGAGGCCCCAGGCGCACCCACTGCCGGTACCGGGAAGCGCCCACCCCCCGGTGCCGCCTCTCCCCCGTGCCCTGGGACCCCGCGGACCCTCCCCGTGCCCGGTACCTGCGGCAGCGAGCAGGGCAGCGGCGCAGCAGAGCAGGCGGAGCGCGCCCCGGGCCATCCCGCCCGGTGCCGGCGCCGCCGCCTTTACCCGCCCCGGGGGAGGCGGGGCGCCCCCTGTCGGTACCGGGCGGCCCCGCAGCGCCGGGACCCCGCGGGCACCGGGAGAACCCCCCCACACTCCCCCCCCATCCCGGCCGCTTCCCCCCCCACCGCAGGACCGGGAAACGGCCCCGGTACCGGGAGCCAGCCCTGCTGCGATCGCCGCGGACACCGGGAAGCGGGCACAAAGGGATCGGGGCACGTGGGGACACCGGGATGTGAGGGTTGAGGACAAAGGGATGTGGGAAAGCGGCGGCATCGGGATACCGGAACGCCGAACCGTGGGAATGCGGGGACAAAAGGACCATCACGATGCGGGGACAATGGGACCGGGGACGTGAGGCTGCGGGGATTTGGGGACACGAGGATCTGGTGACACCGGGCCGGAGACAGGTGCTGCCCCGTCCGTCCTCGCTCCGGAGCGAGCGGCACATCCGGGGCGCAGCAGCTCAACCGCGCCGGGACGGCGCCGCTTCCGCGCGGCGGGGACGGGACGGGACGGCGCTTCCTCCGGGAAACCGCAGCCGGCTGGCACCGCGTCCCGGGAGCCACCCACGGCACGGCACAGCACGGCACCGAGCGTGGAGTCACCGGGGAGCCACCCACGGCACGGCCCGGTGCCGAACGATCCCCGGGAAGGCCCCCAGGGCACGGCACCGAGCGTGGGGTCCCCGGGGAGCCCCCAGAGCAGGGTACCCAGGCACCCCAGACTCTGGCACAGCGGCTCCCGGGGAGATCCCACTGCTGGAGCCGCCGCCAGCTGCGTCCCCGGGACACGGGCCCGGTGCCCCGGTGCGGCTCTCCCCGGGCTGGGGCCCCGCAGGTGGGGAAGGCCGGGGAGGAGCCTGAGCGGTGCCGGGAAGCCCGAGGCTGTTGCCGGAGTCTGGGAGGAGCAGGGCAGGCCCGGCCTCGCTGGGCGCATCGGGGTGACCCCCGGGGGCCCGGACAGGGGGTGCTGGTGAGCCCCCCAACACGGAGAGGGTCCGGCAGGGCAGAGCCACAGCCAGGACCCGCACTGGGGTCCCCTCGCCCACCTCCTCACACGTGGGGACCCTTCAGCCCCAGGGGAGCCCAAATACACCCCCATATCCCCCCCAAGAGAGCCCAAATAACCCCACACCCCCCGCAACACCCCAACCCTTCACCACCCCCTCCCCAGCTCCCCCTCCCCAATAACCACAGCCCCACGGACCCCCTCGCCCTCCACCCTCTCCGGTGACTCCCAGAGCCTCTCGGCCAGCCCTGAGGGGTCTTCACTCCCCATCGCCCCCCAGGACTCCCCGATCCCCCCGGGGCCGCTCCCCCCCAGCCCAAGATGGCACCGGCCGCGCCACTTCCTGGCCGCGCCGCCCCTTCCCGTCCCTTCCCGGGCGCAGCAAACAGCCACAGGCCAACTCTCCGTGTCGCGGGGCTTTACTGGGACCTCACTGGAATGTGTGGGGCGCGGAGGGGCCCGGGGGGGGCGGCCCGAGCCCCTCTCAGTCCGTGCGCGGCGAGGAACCCCCCCGGCCGCTCCCTCCTCCGCGGGCAGCGGGGCGTGCTCGGGGCCCGCCGTCCGGAGCCGGTCCCGGTTCTCTCCCCTCAGAGCCCTCGGTCCGTGTCCGGGGAGATGGAGGGCGATCATCGCTCTTCTTCCTCTTCTCGGGACCCCTCAGTCCGTGCCCGGGACCCCCCGGTCCGTACCCGGGGCAAGGCAGGCGCTTCCCCCGCTCCCCTCAGTCCGTGCCCGGGTTAAGGCGGGCGCTTCCCCCGCTCCTCTCGGTCCGTGCCCGGGACAGAGCGGACGCTTCCCCCGCTCCCCTCAGTCCGTTCCCGGGACCCCTCGGTCCGTTCCCGGGGCGGGATGAGCGCTTCCCCCGTTCCCCTCGGTCCATGGCCGGGGCAAGGCGAGCGCTCCCCCGGGTCCTCGCCCGGGACCCCTCGGTCCGTGCCCGGGCTGGGGCCCGCCCGGGGTCAGTAGGCCGGCACCTGGTGCTGGTGCTGGGGCAGGAGCTGGCAGCCGCTGTTGACGTGGCTGAGCACCTTCTGCTTGAGCTGGGCGACCTGCTCGCGGAGCAGGCTGGCGGTGGAGGCGAGCTCCGTGTTCTGGCTCTTGAGGCTCTTCACCTTCTCCTCCAGCCGGGAGATCCGCTCCAGCTTCCTCTTGCGGCACTTGGAGGCGGCGATGCGGTTCCTCAGCCGCTTCCGTTCCGCCTTGATGCGCTCCTGCGTGTCCATGTCGATGGGGGACAGCGGGGGGCTCTCCCCGAAGCTCGGCACCTCCGGCACGATCTGCGGCTCGTCCTTTAGCGGCGGCGGGGGCGGCGGCGGAGGCAGCCGCGGCGGCGGCGCCGCGAACGGGCCGGGGTCGGCGGCGTAGCTGACGGCCGGGTAGGTGCTGAGGTTGGCGTAGACCGGCGGCTCCGGGGCCATCCCGGCGGCGGGCAGCTCGCCCGCGCCGCCGCTTCCTCCCCCGCCGCCGCCGCCCGCGCCGCCGCCGCTCCCCGCCGCGCCGCCGCCCAGCTGGTTCTGCTTGTGCAAGTCCTCCAGCGCCTTGACGAAACCCTCGGCGAACTCCTGCTCCTCGGAGGCCGCCGCTTTGGGGTAGAGGAACTGGCCGCTGGTCGGGGTGGTGGTGACCAGCCCGTTGGACTGGATGATGAGCCGCTCCAGCTCCGGGGACGCCAGCTTGAGCAGCCCCAGCTCGGCCGAGCCCAGCAGCCCCGCCGCCTCGCCGCTGGCCGCGCCGGGGGCTTTCAGCGCCGCCGCCACCTGTTCCGGTAAGGCCATCCCGAGCGCGTCCTTCTTCATCATGCTGCCGCCGGGGAAAGGCAGGAGGAGCCCGTTGCTGCCGGAGGACGGAGCGAAGCCACTGCCGAGGCCGCTCAACACATCATCATGGTAGAAGGGTGTTTCCATCCTCCTCCCCCGCCCGGCTGCGGGGGAAACGGCGCCGGGGCGGGGGGAGGACCGGGGCGAGCGCGGGGCGGGGAGGGCGGGGGGAGGCGCCCGGTGCGCACCGGCCGCAGGCCCGCTCCTGCGCGCGCGCACACAGCTCTGCCGCCGCCGCACGCCCCGCGCCGCATTAAATAGGCGGCGCCGCCGTGGTGACCTCACCGCGTCGAGTTCCCATTGGCTGCAGATGACGTCCTCGCCCGCCCTAATTTGCATACGGGGCGTGGTCTCGTCCCCGCGGAGGCGGTGCCCCGCCCCGTGCCGGCCCCGCCCCGGCCCCGTCGCCGCGGCGACCGGCGGATAAACGGGACAACAGCGCGCGGGGCCCTGGGATGACGTCAGCGCGGGGGAGGGGTGGTCACGTGGCCCCGCGGCGCGCGCCCCGCCGGGGCTGATGGGCACAAAGGGAGGGGCGGGAACCGGGAACGGGACAGGGCACCGGGAACCGGGCCCTGGGAACCGAGCATGGGAACGGCACAGGGCACCGGGAACCGGGCACAGGAACGGCGCAGGGCACCGGGAACTGGGCACCGGAACCAGGCACCGGGAATAGGAATGGGAACCGGGCATGGGAATTGGCTACTGGGAACTGGGACCGGGCACAGGAACCTGCCACCTGGTACTGGGCTCCCGGTACCGGCACCGCAGCTGTCCCTGGCATGGGCACCGGGCACTGACTCAGGCACTGGTACCGGGCACTGGCACCGAGCCGGACCCCGGCTGTAAAAAAGGGGTATAACAAACAAATAAATAAATAATAAATAAACACGCCGGGTCAGGCACCGCCACGGGACCTCACGGGAACCCCGGGGGACAGCCCGGCCACCGCCCGTGGGGGTCAGCCCGGGACAGGCCGCTGGCACGGCAGGGTTTGTGTGGCTGCACCGTTCCCGCATGTCCCCACACCTCCCGTGGCACCGCCGTGCCCCGGTGGCACCGGGGGTTACCCGGGGAGCAGCCGTTCCCTCCGGTTCACCGGGGAGCGGGGGGGGGGGTTCCACTATCCCCGCACCGCGGGTCAGGCGGGGGCACAACGAGCCCGGAGCGGGCGGCACCGGAGAAGGAGTTAACGGCGGCGGCGGCGGACGTCACGGCCGGCCAAGCCCGCGGGCGGCTGAGGGGGCGGATCGGCGTCAGCGCTTGACGTCACCGGCGCGGGGGGAGGCAGCGCCGGTGGCCGCCGATAACCCCCCCCCCCCCACCGGGCAGGATGCGGCCCCCGCGCCGCCGGGAGCGCGGGCACGCGCGGGGCCCCGGGACAGCGGGGCGGGTGACGCCGAGCCCGCGCTAATTGCGGCCAGATGCCGCCCGGGCTGCGCTAACGACGGCGATAAATCAGCGGCGTCAGCGCCGCGGGCGTGGGGGGACTCGGGGGACACCGCGGGGCCCCGGTTCTGCCGGTGCCAGGAGCTCCCGCCCCGGTGTGTCCGTGCTGTGTGCTGCCCGCGGGGACGGTATGGCACGGCACCGCACGGCACGGCCCTGGCTGCAGGGGACACGGGGGACACCCAGGACAGGCCTGGGCACCGCTCGGGGCCGGCACACGCGGTGCTGGCACTGGGGAAACTGAGGCACAACTGAGAGAACAACTGCGATCTCCCTCCCCCCCGCCCAACAGCTGCTGTTAATTAAAGCCCGAATAAACGCGGTTTGTTAAATCTCAGCAGGGACAGAGCAGGGCGGACACGGCTCGGTGTGCCCCGCTGTCCCGAGCCGGTGGCGGTGCCAGGCCCGGTGTCCTCGCCGGTGAAGCCGCCGTTCCCCTTTCCGCCCCAAACCCGTCATTAGGGGCGCGGCCAGGCCGGACCGGCAGGTTCAGACTTTCCGTCTCGGCCAAACCCGGCGGGCGAGGGACAGGGAGCTCAAAACCCTCCCCTTGTCCCTGTCCCCAGGCTGGGGACACACCTCGGGCACCGCGGCACCCCGCGGAAAACGGGGCGAGCAGAACCGGCTTGGGCCGGCGGCGCTTTCACGGTTCCACCGGGGAACCGGCCGGCCCCGGGGCCTCCCGATGGCTGGAGATGGGAGCCACGAACCGGACACCGGCACAGCCCCGCCGGGGCAGCGGCACCCGGGGCTCGTCCGGCCGTGTCCCCCCTCTGCCACCACCGCTGCGTGTCCCCTGTCCCCAAAGCGAGAACCCGATGCCAGCGGCTTAATTTCCCTAATGAGCGTTTAATGAGGGGCGTGAATCAGTGACCCCTTCCGCCTCAGAGCCGCGGGGAGGGCCCGAGCTGGTGGCAGTGCCACCGTCCCCACAGGTGCCCAAAGCCGCTGTTCCCTCAGAGCCCTCGGTGTCCTGGCACCTGGATTTACCCCGGAGCAGGGTTTGGGGTGAGCCTGGAGCAAGGCCATGGCCACCAGAGCATCCTCAGAGCTCCTGCTGTCCCCACCAGGGCTCCAGCAGTGCCACCAGGAGCATTCCCTGTGTGCCACCAGCTCCAGGGCGCCAGGGGTGCCTGATCCTGCACACTGAGTGGTGCCCAGGGGCTCCCAGGGATGCCAAGCTGCCCCTGGGACAGGGAACAAGCAGGGTTTGCACCCCGGGATTGGCACAAACTCCCCCTGGAAAAGGGAACAAGCAGGGTTTGCACCCCGGGATTGGCACAAACTCCCCCTGGAAAAGGGAACAAGCAGGGTTTGCACCCCGGGATTGGCACGGCAGGCTCTGGAAAGGGGAACAAGCAGGGTTTGCCCCCCAGCACTGGCACGCCAGGCTCTGGGCACGCAGGGGAAGCTGCCTCTTAGTCATTGCCACAGGCAGGGACAGAGGAACCGAGCCGGGAAAACAAGAAGTCACAGCTGCCACCACCGCCTGTCCCCAAACCTGCCCTGTCCCCGAGGAACCCCCAGGGGCCTCCCACAACCAAAAACAAGAATTAAAAAAAAAAAAAAAGAAAAAAAAAAAGAAAAAAAAAAACAGAAAGAAAGAGAGAAAGAAAACAGATTTTAAAGGGAAAAAGGAGGAGGAGGAGGAGGGTTTGACGTGTATTTTTAGTTGCTTAGCACAGCCCTGAAGTATTTCGGCAGCCACTCCCTCCGCGTCGCTGGTGTGTAACTATTCCTGTGCTGCCTCCTCGCAGGGTCAGCAGCTCTGAGTCACCGTGGGGCACTCAGAGACACCAGCCCGGGGCTCCAGAGCCCCCGAAATACCCCGGGAAGGGTTTCCATTTCCAGGGCGGCCCTTGCTGGGCCTTTCCGTGGGGACGCGTTGGCCCTGCCAGGCTCTGCGCCCACCCACGCCCGCAGCCAGCCTCAGACTTTTCCTCCTCCTCCTCTCTGCTTGTTGCTTTTATCTCGCTCCTCCCTGGTTTGTTTCCTTTTTCTTTTTTAGTTTTGTTTTCTGCCACGGGGCAGTGGCAGCTCCCAGCGGTGGATTTTTGGGGCAGAAAAGCCCAAAGCGATCAATGCCCTTCCACAGGGCCATCTGCCACCCAGCTGCCCTTTGTGGGGGCACAAAAATATTGAAAAAGGAAAAAGGGGGAAGCAGGCAGGGCATGCTGCTAAAGCGGGGTAATTAAACAAACGCAGAACTTAACGAGCTCCATCACCTGACCCCAGAGCTTGGCCAGGAGATAAGGAGCGCTTGCAGGACTCTCCCCAAGCTGCAGTGAGGAGTTCTGGTGCCAGAAAAGCCCAGCAGGGCTGGAGCCATTTCCCTTTGCAGCAGGGAAGCCGCAGCACAGGGATCCAGAGGGAGGGAGCAGGTCGGGGAGGGAAAGTCTGACACAGCCTGGGCTTTGTGGAAATGCCACAGGAGCTTTCCAGCAGGGAGGACACATCGGCCCATCCCTGCAATTGGAGGAGTGCTGCTCACGGCCTCAGCAAGAACAGCTCCATGGCTGGTGCTGGAAATGGGATATTTGGGATTTATCCCCGATTCCAGGGCTCAGGGAAGGGCCCTGGAGCAGGCAGGGCCCAGCAGCATCACAGACACACACACAGAGAGAGAGGCTGGAGATTTATTCTCACTCACCACCGTGCCCAGTGCTACAAACATTAAAAAAATAACTCTATAAAAGCAAGTTCTTCGCTCCTTTCCAGTACGGCGGCGATGGCAGAGCCTCCAACACGAGAACCAGTTGTACAAACCCCAAACCTGCTCGAGACAAGTCACAATATCATCTTTTCCCCCCCAAAATTCAGCCGTTTCATCCATCCATCCATGGGGGAATTGAGGCTGATTCCTTTCCCCCCCTGGGATCAGCCAGGACGTTCTCAGGGTGTGTTTTGCTGATGGAAGACTGGAGCGACCTGCCCTGGGAATGCCCAGGAGTTTTCTGGGGCTGCAGGGAGGATAATTGAGGGCTGGGGGAGGAAGTGACAGGCACAGCCAGCCAGGTCAATCACCAGCCACCGATGGGAGAAATTGGGGTGGGAAACACTGGCAGAGCTCAGGACTCGGTGTCACAGCAGAGGGGAGAGAGTTTTCAAGAGTAAACCCATGGAAATCAACTCAAAAAAAAAAAATTTAAATCCTCCGTATTCAAAAAACAAATTTAAATCCCCCACGAGGAATAAGGGGTGCACCAGCCTCATGCAAAAAAAAAAAAAAAAACCAAACCAAAAACCACAGAAAAAAAACCCTGTTCATTTGAAGGAAACTTCCGATCTGAAGTCAAATTAGCAATGAACTAATTGGGAAATGCTCGTTTGTCACAAAGCTCTCCTGGGAACAAGCCTTGAAGGTTCATCCCTCCTCGGAGGCACTGGAGGAACAGAACTCACTGGCCAGGAGAAGAAAAGCAAAGCTTCAGAGTTTGTTGGTTTAAAAAACCCCAAACTTTTAGGACTATTCATATTCAGACACAACATCCTCAAGTTCAGTGTTTTTAAACCAAAACACAATCTGTTACAAACAAAACAACTTTCCCAAGTTTCAAGTATTTAAAAAAATAATAATCCAAGCGATCCAGAAAGTGTTTGCCTTCATACTGGTACCTCAGAACAGGGGAAATATTTTAAATCAAACCTGGCAAGGCTGAAAAATTCACTCCCAGGAGAAGGCAGGACCTCGCTCCTTAACCACGAACGAAATTTTTAAAAATATTTCCAATGATTTGCTGGTGACAAGGAGGGAAAACTCCTCGTGAAGAGGAGCACGATGCGGGCTCTGGTTCTGGCGGAGGGGTGGCACAGGGAGCGTTTGGGGACAGCCCTGAGGTGACAAAAGCCAGAGTGCCCCAGCCCTCACTGCTTGGCCGATTGCCTGCCCGGCTTCTTCTCCTGCTGGCCTCTTCCACTGCCTGGAATTCCTCTGCCACGGCCCCCAAACACACCTGTGGGGCACAAAGGGACAGCTATCAGCACCAGCAACGCCCCACAGCCACGTCTCACCCCAAAAACCTGCTTATTCTGGAGTCTCACAAGCAGAAATGTGACTTTCTGACTTCTCCTTTCGCAGCCCCCAGACCTTTATTTAGGAGGTGCACAAACTCATCCCCATCTCAGCGAGTTCAGCAGCACCTCCCTGGCGCGTCCATCTCGTGGTTAATGATGATCTCGTGGAAAATTGAGGTTTCTGCCCCAAAAATGGAACCGGGGAAGCAACAAATGTAAAATCCAGGTTGTGCAGTGTCCCCTGAGAGCTGTGAGGGCAACACAAGGGCTGGGCAGAGCAATCCTTGGTTCTGAGAGGGCACAGGGCAGCAGGGGCTGGTTTGGGGGTGCACTGAGATCTCAGCCCCAAAACCAGGAGCTGCTGAGCCCAGCCCTGAGGTTTATCCCCAAAACCCCATCCTGGGGAAAAAGGGATTGGATCCACCCTTTGCAGAGCCCAAAGGAGACCCAACCCAAGCACCAGAGCTGCTCCAGAGGAGGGGATGTGCCCAAAACTTAAATTATTGAATTATTCCCAAGCCTGCAGTGCTGGGGCTGCTCCTCCTGCACTCGTGAGCTTGGCAAGCCAGAAGCCAAAGGAGGAGGATGAGGAGTGTCAGAGACAATAATCCTTCCAGCTGTGAGCACAATCGCAGCTTCCCTCCTGCCCCGTGGCCTCACAACAAAACTGTCCTGCCTTCGTTTTTGGTTTTTTTAAATTTTTTTTTTCTTTTCCTTTCCCTCCTCCCTTCACGTCTCGGCAATGGGAGCCAAACCTTTGAGCTAATTAGCAAATGCTGGAGCTTCTCCTGGAAATATTCCATCAGCAAATTGGGGCTGCCCATGGAAACAGCAGCAGGAGCTGCACCTTGGAGCTCCACACCAGGTGGGCAGGGAAAACAGCGTGGTTTTGGTGATTATCACAAAAAAAAAATCATTAAAAAAACTGCTGTGCCAAGGCAGGGAAAACAGCGTGGTTTTGGTGTTTATCCCCCCCAAAAAATCCTAAAAAACTGCTGTGCCAAGGCAGGAAAAACAGCTTGGTTTTGGTGATTATCCCCCCCCAAAAAAAATCCTAAAAAAATTTCTGTGCCAAGGCAAAGGCAAGGAGGGGAACCTCTATAATAAATAAAATAAAATAAATATAAATATATAAACACATCTACACAAATATAAATATCGATGATACATACAAATATACTTATATTTATATTTATTTAATTTAATTATTTAATATTATATTTATATTTATATTTATATTTATATTTATATTTATATTTATATTTATATTTATGGAGTGCCCTGGGACCTAACCCCTGAAATGGAAATGGGAAGGGTTGTTTGGGTGACCTATTTCTCCCAAAGTGGCAACCTGCCCTTTATCAGCAACATGAATTATTCATCTTCCAAAGCAGCTCACATAGTTTTGTCTCTTTCTTATTTTTTTTTTTAATTTTGTTTTTAAATATAAATACATTAACAAATCAGGAAATCCAAAGCCCCATTTTAAAGGCAGAAGAAGATGATTTTTTTCCCCTCACTGCCACGAGCAGAGCCTGGTTTATTTTCACTGTTTTCACCCAGAACAGGGGTGTAAATAGCAGAACCTGGTTTATTTTCACTATTTTCACTATTTTCACTCAGAACAGGGGTGTAAATAGCAGAACCTGGTTTATTTTCACTATTTTCACCCAGAACAGGGGTGTAAATAGCAGAACCTGGTTTATTTTCACTATTTTCACTATTTTCACTCAGAACAGGGGTGAAAATAGCAGAAATTGGTTTATTTTCACTATTTTCACTATTTTCACTCAGAACAGGGGTGTAAATAGCAGAACCTGGTTTATTTTCACTATTTTCACCCAGATCGGGGTGTAAATAGCAGAACCTAGTTTATTTTCACTGTTTTCACCCAGACCAGGGCTGTAAATAGCAGAACCTGGTTTATTTTCACTATTTTCACCCAGACCAGGGCTGTAAATAGCAGAACCTGGTTTATTTTCACTGTTTTCACTCAGAACAGGGGTGTAAATAGCAGAACCTAGTTTATTTTCACTATTTTCACCCAGAACAGGGGTGTAAATGGCAGAGCCTGGTTGATTTTCACTATTTCCACCCCTTTTGTTTGCCCCTGGGCGTTGCTGAGCTGCATTTCTGCTGCTGCAGGAGGCAGGAGGAGCTGAAACAGCCAAGTTGAGACTGCCTGAAGCTCCTGCCCAGCCCAGAAGGAGGGAGGGAGGGAGGGAGGATTCCCTGGCACGAATCCTTGGCAGGGCTGCCTGCTCGACCGGATCCTCCTCCAGCTTCTCCCAGACACAGCCCTGCCTTTAACACAGAGCACCACGAGCTGCTCCTTGCACAAAAAGGGGAGATTTTAAAGGCAGGGATCCCATTGTCCCCTCTCTAAGATGGGGGAAAAAATAAAAAAAAAAAATCAGATTTTTACATCGTCCAGCTCCTCTAACTGCAAAAAGAAAAATCAGATTTTTACCTCATCCGACCCCCAAAAAATCAGATTTTTACCTCGTCCAGCTCCTCCCACGCCCCCCAAAAAAATCAGATTTTTACCTCATCCAGCTCCTCTAACCACAAAAAAAAAATCAGATTTTTACCTTGTCCAACCCCAAAAATAAAATCAGATTTTTACCTCATCCAACCCCAAAAAAATCAGATTTTTACCTCATCCAACCCCACAAATAAAATCAGATTTTTACCTCGTCCAGCTTCTCTAACCCCAAAAACAAAATCAGATTTTTTACCTTGTCCAAGCCCAAAAAAATCAGATTTTTACCTCGTCCAGCTCCTCCAACCCCCCAAAAAAAATCAGATTTTTACCTCATCCAACCCCAAAAATAAAATCAGATTTTTACCTTGTCCAGCTTCTCTAGCCCCAAAAACAAAATCAGATTTTTTACCTTGTCCAAGCCCAAAAAAATCAGATTTTTACCTCGTCCAGCTCCTCCAACCCCACAAAAAAATCAGATTTTTACCTCATCCAACCCCAAAAAAATCAGATTTTTACCTTGTCCAACCCAAAAAAATCAGATTTTTACCTCGTCCAACCCCCAAAAAATCAGATTTTTACCTTGTCCAAGCCCAAAAAAATCAGATTTTTCCCTCGTCCAACCCCAAAACAAAAATCAGATTTTTCCCTCATCCAACCCCAAAATAAAATCAGGTTTTTACCTCGCCCGGCTCCTCCGACCCCACGGCCCTTCTGCTGTTTCTGCTGCTGCATGCCCCCGCGGCCGCGGCCCTTGGACACCACCTCCTCCTTGACCATGTCGATGATCTCGTCGGGGATCCGCAGGTACTTGATGGTGCTGCCGCGGATGTAGCACTCGGGCATCCTCCAGAACTTGTCCCCGTCCTGGCGGGGAGAAACGGGAGGAAAAAATGCTGATTTTGGGGATTTTTTTGTTCTCAGTCTGTTGGGAACAACATGAGCAAAACCTGCTGCTTTTGGGTCATTTTTAGGGATTTTTAACTTTTCCCTGTCATTTTGGGGAGCGACACGAGCAAAATCTGCTGCTTTTGGGGATTTTTAACTTATTCCCAGCCTACCTGGGAGCAAAATGTGAGGCCACAAGCAAAACCTGTTGCTTTTGGGTCACTTTTAGGGATTTTGAGCATTTCTGCAGAGGGGGAGAGCTGCAGTAGTCTTTGCTGGGAGCGTTATCTGTAACCAGCAGTGAAAAATGGGGATTTAACTCCCCAGAACACAGAGCCCCACAAAGAACCGTGACTTCAATTTGATCCTCAAACACTCACAGAAAACGTCAGCAGAAGAGGCTGAGGGAACCAGGCCCTTCTTCCCTTCTCACACCAGAGGGGAATCGAAAGTGGGACCAGAGGCAGGAGTTAAAGTGGGGCTGAACAACCAATTCTGGTGTAAAAATGCAGCTGTGGCCAGGATTCCTGTCCAGCTGGGAGTCACCCCACTCCTTCCCTGCTCTGGGGTGTGGAGGGAGCAGAGAGGCAGCTCTGGAGCCAGCTGGCTGTGGGCTGAGAGCCTCCAGAGCAGCTGAGGGGAATGAGGAACTCACGCTTTGTATATTTATTAAAAATAAAAATAAAAATCTTCAAGCGTCCAGTTTTGGGGCAGCCACCCCTCTGTGCTGCTTTAAGGCAGTTTCAGGGTTTTCCTGGGATACTATGGGCTTCCCTAGGACTCAACCCAGTGGGTTATTATATATTTATTATATATATAAATAAATATATAAATATATATTTTTTTTTAGTAAAAATCTTCAGGTGCTCAGTTTTGGAGCAGCCACCTCCCTGTGTTATTTCAGGATACCATGGGCTCAACCCAGCAGGGTTTCAGCGAGTCATGGAATTAAGAAGTTGTTGAACAACAACTCAGGGCTGTAGGAATAAGAAGCCAGGGCTGAACAACAACTCGGGAACAAGAAGCCAGGGCTGAACAACAACTCAGGGCTGTAGGAACAAGAACCCAACAACTCGGGAATAAGAACCCAGAGCTGAACAACAACTTGGGAATAAGAAGCCAGGGCTGAACAACAACTTGGGAATAAGAAGCCAGAGCTGAACAACAACTCAGGGCTGTAGGAACAAGAAGCCAGGGCTGAACAACAACTCAGGGCTGTAAGAATAAAACCCAGGGCTGAACAACAACTCAGGGCTGTAGGAACAAGAAGCCAGGGCTGAACAACAACTCAGGGCTGTAAGAATAAAACCCAGGGCTGAACAACAACTCAGGGCTGTAGGAACAAGAAGCCAGGGCTGAACAACAACTCCCTGGCCATGATGTCAGAGGGAGGAGGGACTGGGCCGGCTCCAGCAGGGCCGGGCTGCAGCTGGGGTGGCTCCAGCCCAGCCCAGCCCTCCCCACGTGCAGCCTGCATGGTCCCAGGAGAGCAGGAGAGAGCAGCACGCCCCGCTCTGCTCCCCGGGGACGGGGGTAGCACGGTGGGGATGGATGGAGAGCAGAGATCTGCAAAGGGCCTGGGTGGGAGCTGCAGCCACAGCTCGGAGCAGGCCCCAGAGAGGGGGAGAGAGATAAAGAGAGTGGTAAAGAGAGAATGAGAGAGTAAAAGAGAGGATCAGAGGGGGAGGTTCCCGTTGCAATACAATAAATCTTCTTCTGATCATGGAATTTGAGGTTTATTGCAAAGGGCCTGGGTGCAGGGCCCTGCTGGGAGCTGCAGCCACAGCTCGGAGCAGGCCCGAGAGGAGAGAGAGGTAAAGAGAGAGAAGGCAAGAGCGTGGTAAAGAGATGAGAGAGTGAGGAAGAGTAAAGAGGGTAAAGAGGGAGTAAAAGAGGACAAGGTTCCTGTTACAATACAATAAATCTTCTTCTGGTCTTGGAATTTGGGGTTTATTGCAAAGGGCCTGGGTGCAGGGCCCTGCTGGGAGCTGCCAGGCACAGCTCAGAGCAGGGCTGAGAGGAGAGAGGGGGAGAGAGGATGAGAGGGTAAGAGAGTAAAAGGGGTAAGAGAGTGAAGTTCCTGTTCCAATACCATAAATCAGCTTCTGTGTTGAATATTCTGATTTTCACTAACCAATCTAGTCCAAGATAGAAATCCTATAGCATTTCCATACAGCCTATAAGAATCACTACATTACCATACTGTGTTATATTTTAAACCCTAAAAACTCCTCTTTGGGCCACTTCTGCCAGGCTGGCAGGGTCTGCTCGGACCCTTGGGCCTGTCTGCAAGCAGAGGGTGTTGTTCCATCAAAAGCAGGTTACCTTCATTGTTTTCCAGTTGTGCACTAACAGAGGGATCTCAAAGCTTGCTTTCATTTCCATCTCACTTATAATTTCCATATTCTCAAACTCTTTTGCCAGGCAATCACATCTATAAGGCTTTCCTGTTTCCCCTTCCCCAGCACAGCAGCTCCTCTCATCACCACCATTATTATCATTATTATTATTTGGGGCGGCTCTGCAGGCACGGGCAAGCCCAGGCCGAGATTCCCCGGCCAGAGGCAGAGCCGGCAAACCCCGCCCTGCCTGGGCTGTGCCCGGCTGCGGGAAGGGATGGAGCTCCCGGCCCCTTCCTCGTTCCGCCTGTCCCGGGTGAACAGCAGGCTCCCGCCTCGCTGTCCCGTGCCATCTAGCGGCCAGCGCCACCAGTGCCACCAGTGCCACCGGCAGATTCCGTCACCACCCGGGCTTTGGGGGCGTTTGGAGGCAGATGAGGCTGATCTCCCTGCGTGCTGATTGTGGAATCATGGAATGGTTTGGGTTGGGAATCAAAGATTGTCCCAGTTCCACACCTCCCACTGTCTCAGGTGGCTCCAAGCCCTGTCCAACCTGGCCTTGGACACTGGGTTGTGTCCAAGGGATGGGGACACAATCCCTTAGACTGTGGGATGGGGCAGCCACAGCTGCTGTGGTAATTTCATCCCAAACTTCACCACTTTCACGGGAGGAATCCTTCCCAAAATCCCACCCAAACCTGCCCTCCCCATGTGTCCAAGGGATGGGGACACAATCCCCTGGACTGTGGGACAGGACAGCCACAGCTGCTGTGGGAATTTCATCCCAAACTTCACCACTTTCACAGGAGGAATCCTTCCCAAAATCCCACCCAACCCTGTGTCCTGTCATTCCATCCCCTGTCCAAAGTTTCTCTCCATGTTTTTGTCAGCCCCTTCAGGCACTGGAAGGCCACACTGAGGTGACCCCAAAGCTTCTCCTCTCCCAATTCCCTTTTCCCACAGGACAGCTGCTCCAGCATCCCCACGTCCCTCTGGGTGATCCCTCCCAATCAAACCTGAGCTGCGGCTCTCCCCAGGCAGAGCACTGAGCCTTTGGAAGCACATTTCCAAGGAAAGGGAATCATCACCCGTGTCCTGACTTTACTGTCACCTCCTCCGAGTCCCCCTCCCGCTAAATTCAACAGCGGATCCTCGTCCCGCCGTGACCCAAAACCCAGCCACAAATTCCAAAATTCCAACGATTTTTGGGAGAACAAGGATCCCTGGCAGCCCCTCCCATGGGGATCTGGTATTCCAGGGCTGGGAAAGCACAACAGCAGCTGGGCTGCCACCATCTGTGCTGCCCACAGGGACCAGACCGGACACTTCTGATGGGGATCAAAGCCCAAAACACAGACCTCAATCTCCTGGAGCAACTCTGGCCGAGGGCAAAGGTGCCAGAGCTCCCAAAGGTCCCTTTAACCTCAGTGGGTGAAGTCAGCTGGATGTGGAGAGGGGAGAGAATCAAAAAGATTGATCTGGGAATAAAAGAATATTCCAAATATTCTTTTGGGAATAAAAGAAATTGGAGGGAATAAAAGAGATTGGAAGGAATAAAAGAGATTGAAGAGATTGGAGGGAATAAAAGAATTGTGGTGTTTGAGGCTGCCTGGGACAGGTAAAGGCTCTGGGTTTTGGGAAATCTGGATCAGCATTACAGCACGTGGCCCCCCACTCCTCACCCAGGGGAATGAGGGACCCCAGCCCCTCATGCTGTGATGTGCAGAGAGGGGACACACACACACAGGGCTGCTCCTTCATTATGGGCATTATCAATAATTAAATGAGCGTTATCAATAATGACATTAAATCTGCATTTCAGGCAGAGGTCACGCCTCTGTAGGATGGATGTGAGCTACAGCAGAGCCAGCCTGGCTGGGGACAGAGCTGGGGAACCTTTGGGGGCAGATCGGGGGTGCCAGTGCTGTCTGCTCCCGGTGCTCCCCGCGGACCCTGCCGTGCCCGGTACCGGTGCCGGTTCCAGCCTTACCCGCGATGTGCAGATCACCTCCCGCAGGTTGATGTTCATCCAGTTGTCGCAGCTCACCAGGTGCCCGTTGTACGTCTCCCCGTTCTTCAGCTCCACCAGCTGCGGGAGAACGGCGGTCACGGGGCGCCGGTAGCGGGCCGTGCCCGGTGCCACCCGCGCGGTACCGGAGAGGGGAGCGGGGCTGGGCCGCGCGGCCCGTACTCACCATGGGGTGGTTCTGCGCCGTCTTCAGCAAGGACAGGGGCAGCTGCGGGGGGAAGAGAGGAGAAAGGCCTCAGCACCGACCGGCAACCGGACACCGGCCGGGGCACCGACCCGAGCACCGAGCGGGGCACCGGGCACGCCATCCTGGGCGGCGGGGAAGAGATGATCCAGGCCCTTCCCTCCGATTCAGCCTCCTCCCGAGCCCGGTTCCCGGTTCCCCCCGTTCCCGGTGCCCCGCTCACCATCGTGCCGGACCGGGAGCCGCCGCCGCGCCGGGCGCTGCCGCTCAAACCGCCCCCGGCTCCGCGCGGGACCAATCAGAGAGCGGCGCGGTCCCGCCGCAGCCAATCAGAGCGCGGCGCGGTCCCGCCGCAGCCAATCAGAGCGCGGATCACGGCCCGGCCGCGCCGCGCCGCCCGGTCCGCGCCTTTGCGGCGGCACCGCCCGGGACTGGCCGCGCCGGGACGGGATGGGGCGCGCTCCGCACCGCCCGGTACCGCGAACGCGCTTCGTGCTGCCCCCCAGCCAGCCAGGGAACCCCGCGAGGCTCAGGGTGAGCGTTTTATTTAACCAAACCCCCCGAGTCCCGCCGCTGAGACGGGCGAGCGGGAGCCCCTCGGGCTGCGCCGCGCACGGACGGTGCCGGTGATCGGTAACGGGGGAAGGGCTCCAGGCCCGTCCCGCTGCGGGACTTCCGCCGCGGCGGCGGAAGCGGCGGGTCCGGGCGGCGCGGGGCGGGGCGGGCGGCGCGGGGCGGGGCCGCGCTCAGTGCGGGGCGGTGGCGGCGGGACGGGACGGACGGACGGACGGACGGACACACACACACACACGGGACGGGACGGACGGGACGGAGCCGCGATGGAGAAGCCGCGGCGGGCGGTGGTGGTGACGGGTACGGGGCGGTGAGACGGGAAATGCAGGGGGGATTGAAGGGGGACCCCGTCCCTGCCGGGGCACTTTGGGGGAGCCCTTCCCCAATTGAGGGGGGGCTGCAGGGAAAGGCAGGGCTAGGGGGGTTAAAGGGTCTGGGGGCGCAGCTGGGGGGCCCCTGCTCGGGGCTGAGGAGCAGCTTTGGGGATCCTTTTGCTGATGAAAGTGGCCGGGGGTAGGGGTGAGACCCCTCCCCGAATTGACGGGGGACTTGGAGGGGCCGCTTCTGTGTGATCGGGAATTTGAGGGAGAGCGGGAATTTTGGGGACCCCTTGGCTTGGAGGGGGCACTTGGGGGACCTCTTCCCTGAGATCATGGGGGATCCCCTCCCTAAGGTGAGAGGGGGGTCTGCTGTCCCATCACGGGGGGACTGAATGGGGAGCGGGGGCTGTTTTGGGGGGGCTGTTTTGGGGGGCTGTCCCCAGTGTGGGGCGATAAATAGGGCGCAGGGCAGAGTCTGGGGGGCTTTGGCTCAGGGGTGTCAGAGCTGGGGGGGTACAGCAGTGAGGGGCTTTCCTAGCGTTTATCCATCCAGCCGGCACTTGGATCCCCTTTTTCTATATGTGACCCCATCCCAAAGCTTTGCTATTCGCCAGAAGAAGGGAATCAATCCCCCCAAGGAGCAGGATTAATGGGGCGCAGGGAGGGGGGGATCCCGCTCTGAGCCCCCCACCCTGAGCCCCCCAAGGTGTGGGAGCTGCCCCCCACGGCAGCCCCGAGGCAATGAAGGGAAGAATGAGCGAGAGGCCCCGGCCGTGTCAGCCCCTCCCGGGGTACAAAGGCAGCCCGGGGTGATTTGTGGGTGAGGCCGCCCTGTGACAAATGGGGAACTGGCCCCAACTATTCAGGTCTCCCCCAGCAGCTGAAGCCGGGGCCGTGTGAACAGCGGGGCAGCCGTAAGCACGGGCAGAAAGTGCCTTTGGCAGGGAGCAGGTGGCGGATCCTGCCTTTCCCAGCCCCAAATCGGCGGTGACTAAACAGAAAACTTGCGTCAGGAGACGTTCTGCTGCTCCAGGCTCCTCCACGCTCCTTTTTTTCCCTTTTTTTTTTGGGTAAATTTCAAGGAAGTCTGGTTGCAAAAAGGCAGCGGTTGCCTCGTGATTTGATAACTCCGTGGATGTCAGGAGGAATTCCGTTCAGCACTGGGGATTGTGTCGTGTTCCCCGTGGGTTCCCAGCCCGGGTAGCCCGAGGATAAACGTTATTTGTGCACAATTTCTTTTTTAGAATCATTAAGGAGATAATCCCACGGCCATCCCTGCAGCTGGTTTAGTGCTAATGAGCCTTGCGGGGCTGGAAGCGCTGCCCACAAAGTTCCCTCTGTCCCCCAGAGCAGGGATAACCCCAGCTGTGTTTGTGCCACTCGGGTTTGGAATTCGGAGCCGGGGAATCCTGCCCTGTGCCTGGGCACCTGTGGAATTCCAGCCTTTTTATTGCTAAAACGCGGATTTAGTTTCTTTTGTGGGCTCGTCACGCTTTATTTGGGAATTCAGCTCCGGGGAGCCGTGTGGGACTTGCAGAAGCAGCTGGCAAGGCATTAATTTGCCTCCTTCCCCCTGTCAGGGTTTGTCTCACACCCCTGCAGTTCTGCTCGCAGGAAAACACCCCCAGCATTTCGGGTTTTGTGGGGAATATTTATTTTGGCGAGGCGGGCTGAAATCCACGGGCGTGGACGAGCCCACGCTTGGGAAATTCCTGCTGAGGTGCAGCCCGGGGAAGGGCAAACCCCACACTTGCATTAAGGTGTCAGCTGATATTTGTGGTCCCTCTCGGATCCTTTCAGGGGCCGGGCAGAATTTATGTCTCCTAATTGCAGCAGGCTCGGAGGGCAAGGCTGACATCTGAAATTAAAGCATATCGACGTTACGCCCAGATAAATTGCCCAACCTTTGTGTGCTTGCTCAGGGAAAAAAATAAATGATAAAAAGGTGTTATGGATTACCAGTTAACTCCAAAGTTATTCATTAGGAGTTTGGAGGTGCTGAGGGAAGGGGTTTTGGTGGCACCCTGGTAGCCTTTGCTGGGCTGTGGGTGTGCTGTCAACAGCTCTGTTTGTTTCCTTGGGAGGTGTAATTAATGCTAACGAAGATCTTGGAGAGGACCCTGAGCGGGGAAGGAACATTTGAGGCAGGCTTGTGGAAGCATCTGCTGTGGGCTGAAGCAATCAGGAATAGAAAATCCAATCATGATTCTAATTCTGTGCCATCGGGCAAGTTAGCTGGTGATAACCAATTTTTCTAACCTGGGCAGGAAGGAAAATTCTACTCCCCAAGAAAAAAAAAAAAACAAGTTTATTTTCAGGCAATTTATTGTTTTCTTTCACTGTACAAGGCTGGAGTTGAAATATTTCAGTGCAGGTGCCTTGTTTGATACTCAGGTGTAAAGAAATAAGGATTGAGAGGTAGAAGTGGAGTTTTTTGGTTTTTTTTTTCCAGGAAAGCTCAAACCTCTTTGCAACTTGAGTCAAATCTGTGAATTTTCCCTCTCTTGCAGGGTTTGGGCCCTTTGGGGAGCACGCTGTGAACGCCAGCTGGATTGCAGTTCAGGTAACCCCTGAATTTCCCCTCTTGGGAAGTGTCAAAATCGAGTACAAATCCCTACAAATTTGTGCTTTCAGCTCTTTTTATCACCTACAGCTTCTCCTGGAGCTCTCTGCAGATACCCAGATGGTCAGCTGGATAATGTTTGATTCCCTGCTCAGAAAACAACCCCCGAGCTGGTGGAGTTTAATGAGGTTGGGTTAATGTAGCTGAGGCAAGTCAGGGATTCCCAGCTTTGGGTGCTCTTTAAACGGGGCAGGGAGCTTGGAATCTTCCTGGAGGGTTCCAGACAAACAAACCAGCCAGCCCAGGGGAATCTGGGTGTTTTCCTCTCAGTTCTGGCTTGAGGCTGGTTCACCTTTAAACCAGGAAAATCAGTTTTATTCCACTTGTACCTGCCTGGGCACATCCCTAAAATCTGGGATATCCTGGGAGGGAAAAATCCAACAACTCCTGGCCGTGCACAGGACACCCCAAAATCCCACCCCGAGCGCAGGAGTTCACCTGGGTCAGGCTGGCATCCCACAAATGGGGCAAAAAGAGGGAATTGAGCTATTTTTTAAGGGTTTTTTTTGCTGTAAAAACACTTTTCACAGGGATGGTGCTGCCACATTATCCCAACACTTCCTCCTTTGTCACTTCTGGATGGGGTTTGTGGCAAAGCCCCTGGGAATTCCATGGTACCTTTTAGTGCAGTTGCCCAGGGAATTAAATCTGTTTTTCTCCCCACCACGTCCCTCTCCCCTTCAGAGCTCTGAGATTAATATCTTCTTCCAAATGCTTTTAAATTAAATCACAAACTCTAATCAATTACAGCCAATTCATGTCCAGCTGCCTGATGTGTTGGCTGGTGGGAGAAGACAAAACCTTTGCCTCCAAGAGCTTTTTTGGGAATGAATTTATTTAATTTTGGGCTCAATTTTAATTTATAATATTAAATATATTTATTTAATCTATTTATTAAATAAATATATTTAAATTTGGAGGAATATGTAGGTTGTGGATGGTGGGAAAAAAAAGCACAGGACGTTCCTGAAAATGAGAAGTGAGGCTCAGTGATTTGGTTTGTTCTTGCTGGTGCTTTTATTTTAGAGGAGGCAGACAAAAGGGTGTTTTTGGAGCAGGAGGAGTGGTGGGTGTTGAGATGTTGCTTGAAAAGAAAATAAACAAACCTAAAGAGAAACAGCTCTGGGCGCTGGTGGCTGCTCAGCTGTGTGGCTGATGGGTGAAGTCATCCTCTCTGTTTAAAATCCATTTTAGGGGCTTGGGGGATGGCAAAACTCAGAGTTCGGGGTGTTTGGGGTGGGTAAACTCAGATTTGGGGGTGTTTTGAGTGGATGGACTCAGAATTGGGGATGTTTTGAGTGGATTTGGGATGTTTTGGGTGGCTAAACTCATAATTGGGGATGTTTGGGGTAGACAAACTCAGAATTTGGGATGTTTTGAGTGGATAAACTCAGAATTTGGGATGTTTTGAGTGGATTTGGGATGTTTTGAGTGGCTAAATTGAGAATTGGGGATGTTTGGGGTGGATTGGGGAAGTTTTGAGTGTATTGGGGATATTTTGAGTGGATTTGGGATGTTTTGGGTGTCCAAACCCAGAGCTGGGGATGTTTGGGGTGGATTTGGGATGTTTTGGGTGGATTTGGGATGTTTTGGGTGTCCAAACCCAGAACTGGGGATGTTTTGAGTGGGTAAACCCCGAATTTGGGATGTTTTGAGTGGATTTGGGATGTTTTGGGTGTCCATACCCAGAACTGGGGATGTTTTGAGTGGGTAAGATCAGAATTTGGGATGTTTTGAGTGGATTTGGGATGTTTTGGGTGTATTTTGGATGTTTTGAGTGTGT